CTCCTTGTGAATGTGCGCGCCCGCGCTGTTCTTTGGTGATTGATCGGCTGTAAATCATGGCGTCCAATCTCCCAGCGTAAGTCGAAGTCCTATCTAACACCCATTCCGATCTGGATCTTCAGATCATCGCTGACATATGAATTGCAGCCAGCCAAATCTCCGGGTCACGAGTAAGAGCTGTCATTCAAATCGAGTTTGGACTCTGCGGGGTTCCGCATCCCGTATAAGACTGACCTCTGTTCTCTATAGTTATCGCGGCTGACGGCTTGTACAAACGCGATGTCTTCCGTATGCTATATCTCCAGAGTTTATCGGGTACTGCGGGGGTTGAAGCTGACCATCTCTAGGATTCCCCGATCCATTCGCCGTGGCTACTGTTGGAGGAGAGCAAACACATACAACTTCTGTAATCAAGAAGACCCTGAATCCCTATTGGAATGAGCCATTCGATCTGTACGTGATACCGTGATATTCCCCCGCTGTCAGGGGCAAAAATATGGTGGATTCCGTTAACCATCTTTATAGGAGAGTCAACGAAGACAGCATTCTTGCGATCCAGATCTTCGATCAGAAGAAATTCAAGAAGAAGGACCAGGGTTTCCTCGGAGTCATCAATGTTCGCATTGGCGATGTCATCGACTTGTCGATGGGTGGTGATGGTACGTCCGAAGAACGCCGATCGCGAGTCATAGAAACGTGGACTGAGCTGACGGCCATGTGCCCCCCACAGAAATGCTCACTCGGGATCTGAAAAAATCGAATGATAACCTCGTGGTGCACGGAAAATTGATCATTAACCTATCGTCCAACCTTACCACCCCGCATCCAAACCAGAATGGATCCCAGCGTCAACAGGCTCAGACAGCGACTTCCAGCGGCCTTGTGCCCCAGGTTGCAGCATCAACAGCTCAAACGCAGGCTGGCCCGAGCACTCTCGATACGTCCTCTGCCGCATTATCAAGTTCATCATTGAGCCAGCGCACCCCAACCACCGCTCCACCGGCTGGCGCTCCTCCCCCGATGAATGGCGCCCCGACCAACCCCCCTGGACCCGGGGCTCCCTCCCGCGCCAATCTCAGCTCCTTTGAGGACAGCCAAGGTCGACTCCCTGCCGGATATGAACGACGCGAAGACAACTTGGGACGGACATATTACGTCGACCATAACACGCGCACCACGACATGGTCACGACCAGCGGCCAACTACAACGAGCATGCCCAGCGTTCGCAGCGCGAAGCCAACATGCAGCTTGAACGTCGCGCCCATCAGAGCCGAATGCTTCCTGAAGATCGAACCGGCGCCAATTCACCCAACCTGCCAGATGCCCAGCAGATACCGACACCACCGCCCGGGCCTAATGCAGGAACCTCTCTCGCAACTGGAGCCCCCGCCGGGTCCAACGCCGCCGCGATCTCCATGATGGCAACGGGAGCCACCACTGCAGGTACAGGGGAGCTTCCACCAGGCTGGGAACGACGAGTGACGCCCGAGGGACGGCCCTACTTCGTGGACCACAACACGCGCACAACGACATGGGTCGATCCTCGTCGCCAGCAGTATATCCGCATGTATGGTCAGGGACAGACCACAGGTGGCGCGAACAATACCACCATTCAACAGCAGCCCGTATCCCAATTGGGTCCTCTCCCCAGCGGCTGGGAGATGCGTCTTACCAACACTGCTCGAGTATATTTTGTTGACCACAACACCAAGACGACCACATGGGATGATCCGCGACTCCCCTCCTCCTTGGATCAGGGCGTGCCCCAGTATAAGCGTGACTTCCGCCGCAAGTTGATCTACTTCCGGTCCCAACCCGCGTTGCGCATTATGTCCGGACAGTGCCACGTTAAAGTTCGTCGTAATAACATCTTCGAGGATTCATATGCCGAGATTATGCGCCAGAGTGCATCCGATCTTAAGAAGCGCCTAATGATCAAGTTCGATGGCGAAGATGGTCTTGATTACGGTGGTCTTTCACGGTATGTTCTATCGTTATCTCCGGTGCCAACCAAGCCCTGCTAACTCCTTCAGTGAATTCTTCTTCCTCCTCTCCCACGAAATGTTCAATCCTTTCTACTGTCTCTTCGAATACTCTGCCCACGATAATTATACCTTGCAGATTAATCCCCACTCGGGCGTGAACCCCGAGCATCTCAATTACTTCAAGTTCATCGGCCGAGTGGTTGGTCTGGCTATCTTCCACCGTCGTTTCCTGGATTCCTTCTTCATTGGGGCCTTCTACAAGATGATGTTGCGGAAGAAGGTCAGTCTTCAAGATATGGAAGGTGTAGATGAGGATCTGCACCGCAATTTGGCATGGACACTGTAAGTTTGATACGCGCAATCTCATTTTGAGAAATCACATTAACACCACGGCAGGGATAATGACATTGACGGAATTGTGGAACTCACATTTTCGGTTGACGATGAGAAGTTTGGTGAGCGTCGCACTATTGATTTGATACCCGGTGGCCGGGATATTCCCGTCACCAACGAGAACAAACCTCAGTACATTGAGTGAGTACCTCCGCCTCTAGCCTGATGAAACCCCGCTAATCACATCGCAGGTTGGTTACGGAATGGAAGATCATGAAGCGAGTCGAGGAGCAGTTCGATGCCTTCATGTCCGGGTTCAACGAGCTTATTCCCCCCGATCTTGTCAACGTCTTCGACGAGCGCGAACTCGAGTTGCTCATCGGTGGTATCGCCGATATCGATGTCGAAGATTGGAAGAAGCACACCGACTACCGCGGCTACCAGGAGCAGGACGAGGTCATCCAGAACTTCTGGAAAATTGTCCGCACCTGGGATGCTGAGCAGAAGTCTCGTCTTCTCCAATTCACTACTGGTACCTCGCGTATCCCTGTCAACGGATTTAAGGATCTGCAGGGATCTGATGGTCCCAGACGGTTTACCATTGAGAAGTCTGGTGATCCTTCCGCGCTGCCCAAGTCGCATACTTGGTATGTATCCGATGCTAGTTCTTATATCTGATGTATCACAGCTAACCTTAATTTTTTCACAGCTTCAACCGTCTTGATCTCCCTCCGTACAAGACGCACGAAGCCCTCGAGCACAAAATGTCTATCGCGGTGGAGGAAACGCTTGGCTTTGGACAGGAATAGAGAGTCTGTTGCTGTTACCTCTTTTGCCTCTTCTACCTCTATTGTACCTGGATCTTTCTACCTCTCTCCCTCTTGCAGCGTGCAATGTAGGGTTTATTCCCTCTCCTGTTCTGGATTCTTGGTCTTGTTTGTTAAATGTAACCCACTACTCACGAAGCTCTCGTTTTTTTTTTACCAGCCAACCAAACCAACTTTCAATTTTTGACTCTCTGCACCAGATTAGGATAGGATCTAGGGCTGGAACATTAAGGTCAAGTCCATTCCGTTCCTCTTCTCCGACTGTCCTTTTTCTTGTTCTTGTTCTCCTCTTATTGGAGAGGGAACCCGGCATATTTCCTTTTCCGCCTTGTCTGCATCCCCCACCGACTTGGCTATACATACCCATCTTACCTCTTACCACACTCGTTCTGTATTCATTATTATACGTAGCAAATAAAAGGAAATTCTTCGCTTGCTCTTACCCTGTTTATGCTGTTAAACCGCAGCATAGCAGTAACTAACTTTAGAGCCATCTGTTAGTTATGACGTTGCTTTACTCCTATTTATGCTGATTGGTCGTGTATTGCCCATGTTGTGATCAACGACCTACTAGTGTCGTATAAACGTAGATTGTAAGGTTAAAGTCTTAATGTCACTAAAGACTCTGACACCTTGAACACACAATACCTGGACTAATCAGGAAGAATATTGGGCCGTATTTTCCCAAAAGGTCACGATATCAATGCCAGTGGTTGACAAAGTAGGTTGCCAATTCTCCTTGATGGACCGCAGTGCAGTCCGGTACTTTCTAAGGTCTTGTTGATGTGTGTCCGTTACAAAAAGCTGTACATACATGTAGGTATGTACACAGTAACTTTAGAGCAGAGATCAGTCAAATAAATCAACGGAGAAATATGCATATAGATCCTACATTTCCCAGTTTCACCGATCCAAATATCTAGATATCCTTGCAGGGTGTAAGAATCTCCATTAAGATCCCCCATAGGAAATACTGGAATTGGATCCTAGCGGTATACTGCTCTGCAGTGGCATGCTGTTAGTGCATGATCGTCTGCTACTAGGTTCCATTTCCGTCCAGCATTTCCTTTTTTTTCTCTTTTCCTTCCCTTTTTTTTTTGTCGCCGTTCGTTTCAAGCATGCTACATTGTTTTTTTACCTTGGGCATACCCGGCGGGTTCTTTATGCTATACATATCATGTGCAGCAGGTGCTGAAGTATCTACAGCACTGCTTTGGGTGACGTCTTGTGGATTCCTCTAAGGATTGTCACGCATCACTTGGCCACTGAAGTTGTTCTAGAGTCGCGTGTCTCCCTTGTTTCCTCCCTCCTATTATCTTATTGCCTCTCCTGCCTTTTTCTCAAATGTCAACCTCCGCCTATACATAGAAAGAGCCTTAGCAGCTAGGAGCTCCCAGGGACATGCCACTTATAGCATTGCTATTAACATTTATAGGGTGCATACGTTCCTAGAGTTGCCTTCACAAAATAGTTTATCAACTTTTCTGTCAACCTTGTATTGTGAATTTTCAACAATATCCATCTTCCCGCTTGACAGAGCTACACTTGGATTAAATCTCTATCTCTTGAATTATCGGAACACAGTTTCATGATTCGACACATGTTAGAGCTCGCTCAACTAGTACTCCCAAAAGCTTTTGACTAAGGTGTAATTTTACCTAGTTAGCTCTTACATGTAACTTTTAAGTGCAGGACTTCATCTCCATTACGAAACTGAAATCAGACTATCTTGATTCGAATCATACCGTCCGGAGTAAGATAATACTAGTTTGAGACCCTCGGCTTGATACAGTAACAGTAGCACACACACACACACTTTCTCTCTCAACCTTGTCCCCAAAATCATCGAAAAAATCAAACATTCATACCAGCAGCGACAAGCGACAATCCAACAAGCAGGAAAACGTGCACTCCAGTTGCTCCAGCGCCACCTTCCTCATCTCCAGAGCTTGCAGAGGCACTTTCAGAGGCACTTGCGGATGCACTCACAGAAGCACTAGCCGTCTCGGCTGGTCCATCGCAGTGCCAGTGGTCGTTATGCGGCTCACAGCCAACAGACTCGGTAGGACTAGGCATTGTGGGAGTGGCATTGGCAGTAGAGCTCACTTCATGAGTACTGGTGTTCACTTCGATCTCGCTTTCTGTTGATGTAACCGAAACAGACGTTGAGGCTGGGCCGTCACAGTGCCTGCATAGAAAAGTGTTACTAAACACTTCAAGTAATAGACACAGCATTTGGGATAGAACAAACCAATGGTCTCCATGTGGCTCACAGCCAACTGAAACAGTAGGAGATGGACCCGGATCCTGGGCTAAGACTCCGGATGAGATCGAAGTGATGATAGCAATGAAATAGGTGGATAATCTCATTTTGGCGAGGCTGTTCAAGGACTATGTAACGTATAACGAGGGGAGATGTTCTAAAATCAGGGCTCTGTCGCACCGGGTACCTGGCTTTATACCTGCCATTCCGCCGACATAGTGGTACTCGCGAGGCCAAGAAAAGTGGGAAGTCTTGGTGCCCCAAAGGTTCTCAGCTTGGCGGCGGATGTCTCGTCGTATTGGGCAATTTATGCATTGGCCTCCGACTGGATGGTCTTATGTGGGTAAAGGCTTTTTGTTAATGACCGCTATGCCTTCTCTTGGATATATCTTGGCTACCTTGGGCCAATGTCCCTGCCGATCCCAACTTGCCAAGAGTGTTGATACTTTATTCTCCGAGTAATACAATTCCCTTTGTAGAAATTGCGAACCCAGGAAAAAATACCTATTTTTCTCCATGTAGCTAAATTATGCGGGTATTATTTAATGTCTTGTGTTGGCTCAGTAAAGACGCAGATGGCTCGAAGCCCTGTTCGTTTCTCGGTTGAATTCGGATGAAACTCTAGTTACAAACAGATACTTTGTTTTTAATAAAAGGGAGCACATTACGAAATGATTCCCGTTCCTCTTCTAGCGCTTAACAGCCTCCCAATATTGCGCCTGATATGCATTCTTATTCAACCCCCGCCCATTCCGACCATATGCCACCTCCAACCCTCGCACTGGCAAGTCAGGCAATGTTATATTTCCAATTGTGGGGTCTGTCTCCTGGAATTCAAACCCCATGCTGGCACTTAACGCTACAATCTCGTCCAGTGATAACTGCACAAATGGCGCAGTGCCATACAGCAAAGGTCCTAAGTTCACCCAACGACCACCAGGACGAAGTAGTCTATGTATAGTCTCAAGGTATGAGACTAGGTTCCGCGCGGTATCGATGAAGAACAAGGTCACGATTATATCGTACTGGCCTGTGTGTTCTGTGAATACCGTAGTGAAATCTCCCTCTACGAGTAAGACAGATGATGGGTGGATAACTTCGTTCGGAAAGGTAACGGAGCGTTGAAGATCGTCAGTCGTTGCGTGGTGAGACCACCAGCCGATGTACGGGTGAAATGGTACACTGTTTGGGGTGGAGAGACTGGATACATAACGGTATGCCAGATTCATGTATGTTGACCATTCATTCATAGTGACATCAAAGCCTAACATGTCTCGAATCAACCAACGAAATTCTCCCAGATATGAAAGTATGTACTCACCTCCAAGTCTGTTGACTTCATGCGCCAGTCGTCCCAATCCCGATCCAGGCAATAACACTCGCAAGGGTCTGTCTTTCGTACGTGGGGTCTGGGCGAGCGATTTTAAGATACATCCAAAGGATTGTTGACGCTCTTCATGGCCCTCATCTGCCCAGTCACGTACAAAATGATTCATTCCCTGGGAGACGCTAGTCCTATCAACAGACCGCTGCTGACTTTCACTTTCTTTGATGAATTCATCCAGCTCAGATTGACTGATATTGTAGAACAAAAGACCGTAATCAACAATAGATCTGGCGAGTTTTCCGTTTGTCTCGAGTAGATGTTCTATTGTGTTGAGTTTACGCGTGTAGTAGATGGTTGACTCGAGCAACTTGGCCAGTTAGCCAAACATGCTTAATTGCAAAACGAGAGAACGAAATACCATACCGTTCGCTGACGCTTGAGGACATTCTTATAAAGATTCCTCCATCGATTCACCTCAGCTAGGTTTTTGTCTTTGTAGCAAGTATACCCATGCAGGGCAGTTAACAACCGATGTCGAGGGTGAGCAGAGTTCCATTTCCCACTAGATCGCTGAAGATCTTGAAGTAGACGAGTGTGCTCTTCATTGTGTGTAGACAATGGCACTGGATAGTGAAAAGTAGCAGGAGTGTACGCTTCAACGTTGTGGGAGATGCCCTACAGGACGTTAGTCCTGAGTAGATAGTGTCGGTTTCATGTTGATCTGACCTCAATCCACGGTGAGAAGTGAATGGCAAATTCCACCCATGCTATGCATGTGAATACGAGGAACAGCTCACGTAGCATATTTTCGGTATTATAGAATTAAAAAAACGCGACTGGGCGGAAACTATATCGCATTAGTTAACTTTTATGGAAGTGACTGCCAAGCCCTATACTCTCAAGGTCCTCGATGCCAAGAAACCATCGAGATTCCAGACATGGCACAACAGCATTGAGGGATTTTCCGAACAGAAGAGATTGGATGGCATGGATGGTTCGATGGGTTCTCGATGGAATGAGAGCCGCACCACCTGCCAACTGGTCCCTTATCAAAGTCGAAATAACATCATCGAGGAATGACATTGAAACCCTTTAGAATCAGTTTAGCCATCGCGATCCACGCCGGCCAACCAGACTATTTTGTTTGTATGTGCCTGTTGTGGCTACTGGGGGAGTTGGGAGAGGAGAGAGGGCAAAATTCTTAATTCATCAATCTATGGAAAAGCAGGATGATAATACCCTGATGTTGAGCAAACAATCAACTTGGGAGATGGGATCATTCGACAGTACCTTGTGTATGGAGTTGCTATACATAATGTACCCAGTCTTACAATTTGCTATACGGTGTAATGATGCTCGATACATCGAGTTTACCAATTAGAATCTGGAGTTGTGACGTGTAGACAAATACTTTTATTCATTGCACTTCTCATATATACCTAGAAACTGAGGGTTAACTATATGACAGAAAAGTCCCGAAAAGATGAGCTTATTGATGAATGATATGCAGAAATGAAATTCAAATTTGGCCAAATGACAAGTCTGGGCTCTGATTTTGAGAAAGGTCCAAACTGAAAATGTACTAGGTTATAAGCAATATGTTCTCTTAAATATGATCGTGTCCACTTTTTCTTACTGACATAGGCCCATGTATGTGCAGCAGTTAATCTTACCACATGAGAGCTTCTGATAGAATTGCAAAATATGTGCAACATCCAATGGGCTCTCCTCCCAAGAGCGCTGGATTATCACCTGGGGCTGTTTCGGCGCTTGACAGCGGGCCTGGGCTCTGGCAGGTATCTTGCTGTAACCGATAAGCCTGAAGCAAGTACGAGCATGAGTATCCAGATGGCATGCCCCCCAGCCAGCTGTGTCCTCGCCCCCAGAGCGAAGAGGCTGGTGAAGAGAGCAGGGCAGAAGGCCCTCAGCATACTAGAACCAGTCAGGGCCAACGCATTCAGCGTGCCCAATACCTTCGGCGAAGGTGCAACATCGTTTAGGGCGAGCTGGATCGCTGTGTAGCTCATGCTGACTCCGCAGCCGATCGCCAGCCCGATCGGCAAGAAAATCCAAAAGACTTTGACGGACCCCTCGGTGCCCATCCGCAGAAGTATATTGCCAAGAGGGCAGCATATGAAGAATAACGGGAACATAAAAGCGCAAAGACGTATTACTCCATTGGTTCCTATTCTCTTCTGCAATGGGGGGAACACCAGAAGGAGCCATGTAGCTTGTGCAGCACCATTTAGACCCATCATCAACGAAATTTGCAGAGGCGTAAAGTTATACCCCCCGAGGTGGATGGGAGTGAACCAAAAGACGGGAATAATGGCTGTGTAAGAGAATGCGAGGACCATGATATGCGCGTACGAATAAAGGACCATACCGACTCCTGGCGATTTGAGAAGCTGCCATGTCGATAGGTCACCACTCTGGGCCGGCACATCGCATGCTGCCTCCTCGCCATCATGGTCCACCACAACTGGCTCCTTCTTCAACGTCTCCTCAACAAAGCAAACGGTAGACACGGCAGCGGTGGCTCCCACCATCGCCACCACAAAGCTTGAGAGCGAGTAGGGATATTTTTCGAAGAAGCCACCAGTCCCGAAAACACCAGGATACTGCCCTACTGGGTCAGCAAGTGCACCGCCCAATAGAGGCCCCAGGAAGATTCCCAGATTCCCGCTAAAGGCGAACCAGCTGAACGCCCGGGCCTGGGTACTAGGCGTGCTATGCTCGGCCACCATAGTGCGGATGGTCACGATGATCCCAGCAAAGACACCAGCAAGACATCTAAATATGATCATCTGTGGTATGCTTTTTGCCAGTCCAAAGAGACCTGTCGCCGCGGTCACGCCGAACAAGGAGAAGACCAGAACCGGCTTGCGACCGAGGCGGTCGGCTGCTCGGCCCCATAATATCATGACAATGGCCTGCGTTAGGGAGAACATTGATTCGATGAGTCCGCTGTAGAAGCCAATGTCCGTGTCTGGCACATCCCCGTTGTCCTGCACCATCTGGCTGACATAGGGAAAGATGGAGAAGAAGGCCAGGGGCTCGATTGCCCGCGCATAGCAGAGTAGGAAGATCTGCAGCTTGGGCAAGGGCTTTTCCTCCTCATCGCTGTCGCTAGCTGACCCTGACGAACTGACCAGAGTGTCTGTGCTGTCATCATACCTGACCTTGCTGGACCCTATGAGGGCTGTAGTCTCATCTACATCCCTTTCCCCATTTACAGGCTGTCTGTTTTTCTGTATCAGGGCCATGACTAGGGGAGTGGCGTTTCGGGGTAAGCTTTGGGGCTTTGGGGGAGTTGGACAAATAAATTACTCACTCACCGCTTTCGTGTGGGGTTGCGCCTAACGCGGCGTCCTAAAGAGGTTACTTACATGCATGAGACATATATGAAGCACATACGGAGTATGGAGAGACTGAATCTACTGCAATGGCCATCTTTGAGTCCGGAAGTTGTCGGTTTATATACTCTATATGGGCTTTTTAGACTGTGTCACACAGCTCCTTCGCCAAACCATTACACGGTCCAGAACAAAACCCCTATACGTATACAATGCCGTAGTTCAAGATGTACATAAGTATTACCAATCAGTCGTCATTTTTGCTTTTGATTACTCACAGCATCCCCATTGCGACTCGGTGTGACTTCCGAGGTCCCTGCGTCAGAATAATTCAGATGACTCACTTGACGCTCAACCCGATTGAACAATTATATAACTCAGATGCAGATTCATGCAATAGCCCTTATAGCTTGAACTACAGAATAGTAATCCACATGGGTCAGGGTCATGTTATCATTATTGGGTGAGAGCCAAGTCTACCGCCTTGTTTCTGTTTATTAACGGTACTTCAATAGAGCCGGCGTCATCGGTCTCAGCATCGCAGTCAAACTATCCAAATACATGAAAATCACCGTCATCGCAAAGGAGTTACCCGGAGATGTCGGCATTGACTACGCCTCCCCGTGGGCAGGGGCACACTTCCGCCCTACCCCCGCAAAAACAGTCGAGGAACGAAAAGAACAGGCCTGGATGCGACACACCTACCAAGAATTCGAAAAGATCGCGAGAGACCACCCAGAAGCGGGCGTGGAATTTATTCCTGCAGTCGAATATTTCGATACTGCCGATGCGACCTCCTATTTGGCAGAAGAAAATGGCTACATCACATGGCCGGACTTTTGTATTCTCGACCCTGCAGAATACTCTCAGCATCCATCTATCCAGCTAGGTGTGACCTACCGCAGCTGGGTTCTAAACTCGCCGGTTTACTTGAAGTGGTTACAGACGCGGGCAGAGGCGCAAGGGACTCGGTTCATTCGTGCCCGCTTGACGGACCCAGAACAGGCTGTATCTGTCTATCTAGAGAATAAATCCCAGGATGAGACCGAGCCTATTTCGGCTGTTGTCGATGCAAGTGGAAGGGGATTTAATGATCCCAACTCTTTCCCCTCACGGGGTCAGTTCATCATCGTCTCGAATCACTGTGATAAAACTATCAGTCATCATTGGAGTGACGGCTCTTCTACAGTCATCATACCCCGACCTCTCGGTGGCGGTACTGTTATTGGTGGGACGAAGGAGCCTAATAACTGGTATGGTTTAGGATATTCCCCGAAGTTGGAGTGGCGCTAACACTCCTCAGGTCTGAGGATATCGACGATGCCTCAACCGAGGACATTCTGAAAAGGGTGAGAGATCTATGTCCCGAGATGATTAACAAGCAAGCGGGTGAACTAGCTTCGACACAGGAGTTTGATGTCAAACAAGTCTACGTTGCTCGGCGCCCTATGAGACGTGGTGGACTCCGTTTTGTATTGGGGACATCAGTGGCCCATGATGGCAACTATACTCCGTTGATGTCTTGCTACGGTGCTGGAGCAAATGGGTACAAAATTAGCTGGGCACTGGCAGATGAATTTGACCGGTTCTTTTCTCCTAAATAGTGTGGGTGCTGCGCACAGTGAAGCAGATGTCTTCGAGAATACCCGGCCGCTTAAATATTTCTAAATCCAGGTTTCTCAATGGATATATACTTGGGAGGCTATATACAAGCTGTAGCTGCCACCTCCGTATCAAGGGTACCATGGTGCATGTCAGTGAATATTTAAGTGGTCTCTATTCAAAAATTATCAGGAGACAGATGCCGGTAAACCAGCCAGGGGTCCTTTCCTTGTAACTGTTGTTGTGGTCACCTATCAACACTCACTATACCTAGAACTAGAAGCATTCCTCGGTTGCTCTAGCCAAAGTCAAATTCCTATAACGGGCCCACATTATTCATACTTCTCTAAGCTATGTTGAATCCTACTCTTACTACTGCTTCTGTAGCTCAATATTAGAGCACACGTTACGGTCACTTCCAAAAGTTTTTCCCTTTCGTCGTTTCTAAAACATAACTATCACGCTTTTACACTGAATCTAATGGCTCTAACGACTCTTATTACTCAAGAGGTGAGGAGTCAGTGGGACATTCATTTTAAGCGAGCTCCCTTAACTCAGGGGTTAGTAATTCAACACAGCCAAGGACGTAGAAGACGAGTAGGTACAATTAAGCAACTCGCTCCATCTTTCCATGTGAAGCGAGTCAGGTATGTACTGGGGATATCCCCGGATACTTTGATAGAGTTGGTGGTAACCGTTGGAATGTTCGTTCAATATTAGGTTATCAGGAATGCCTCGAGGGCAATCTATGCTTATTTTTCAAATCTAGGGCCAAAAGGACCGATTCTATCTAGCATTTCAGTGTCAAGGTACTACATTAAGCGTTCAAAAATGTGTAAGACAAAGCCTGGCGTCTATCCAACGGTTCTATTCGTCTCCCATGAATATCGATATAAGCCACATTAAGGGGTACACTGTTATTGTTTTGGCTCCAGTATAGCGGACAATAATATTAAAAGGCAATGAAATACCACTTGAGTGAATCATATTTACAAGTCATCGATAACTTTACGACCGTCTTTTTTCTCTTTGATATTTCTAACAAATCGCAGATATGCAGCCCATTTTCTTCTTGATTATGCTGTTCTTCAGCTTTACATTAGCTGTTCCGATTTTAACGACCTCGCACGACTTAATCATAAGAGAAGATCAGGTGAGATCCTTCGTTCCTCTCGCTAGGATACGAATTATGTTATGTGTATATGACTAACAGAAAATAGCCTGTGGGTATTACAACTGTTGCGTAGCTGACACCATGCTCACATGTCTGGATACATCTAGGCTGCTGTGAGTGAACAAACAGTCCTTGTCCACAAGATTCTATTTGACTGCCCAGAGAACTAATCCAAACATGGAAAAGCCGGCAAGTCGTTGGTTGCAGCCAGGTATCTGATAAAGCGTAGATTAACATTTTTTGCAACTTTTAGGCTGTGGATGAGATCAAAAAGGCAGACACGCTCAATGAGACGTCGAGTGCGCAGACTGATCCGCCAAAGAGTGTGAGTGAACCGAATCCCGGAGAGCACTACTTTTAGATATGGAACTGACGTTTTGAAAATTATAGATTGTGAGTTATGATCCACCCTGTCTTCCAATCTTTATTTGAATGGAGTCCTGACGCGACTTGTTTGAACAGTTCGTAAGTATTTATGAAAATGAAAGTTTGTGAACATATGGCTAACATCTGTGCTATCTCCAGGAGGTGAGTCAAGTCTAAAGCGATGATCCAACTACTGCCTTAACATGGAGCTAATAGTTTCCCAAAATAGCAAGTAAGTTAACATTTACAACCCTGATTTGGGGCTTCAACTGACAGAGTGGAACCTATAGCTGGTAAGTGCTAGTACCAACATTTTTGGCATATCTGCTTTGACAAAGTGCTTATGATTTATATGATCAACAGGGTGTGAGTATTTTCTTCAATCATGGTTAACATAGACATATAACTGACAAGATTTTCTCATATAGGAAGTGAGTCATTCTCTCCGGCCTTTATGAAGTACTTCTGGTACACAGGACTGACAGAAATTACCAATATCAGGGAGTAAGGTGCATCAACAATCTTTAATATCTTCATATGCTAACTATTCAGGTTGTGAGTTACTTCAGTGCACAAGCTAGAGAACTACTATCGCGCAGTGCTCACATATCTTTGATAAATAGGAGGTGAGAGTGTTCGGATCCAGCCTGAGGCTACAGAACTAACAAAGCCTCGTTCTAGAAAGTGAGTACAGTACCGATGCAAGATACTGCATACTGCAAAACATTATTGGGCCATAGCTAACAAAACTGCCATGGCAAGTTGGTAAGTGAACTTAACAAAGCAGAGACATCGATGTCCGACCAGCCCATCACGAAAAATACGACGATTAGAAAATTAGTGAGTGACCTACCCTCAACCACAACACTGGCTTATACAATACTAATCTATGTCCAATAGTTGGGACAACTCTTTGGTTTCTGAAGGATGCGGTATGGACATAAGTCCTAATCCTACTACGTTCCTACTAACTATGGCTAGTTTGACAGAACTTGCAAAACGTTTGGAATTTTTGGGCGAAGAAGAGTTGGTCTCATGAGAAGGAACATGCACGAGTTGAGATTTTCAATTTGTATTACATAGAAGCCTTAATTTGGGTTTTTGGCCCTAAACTCTAGGGTTTTCCCCATATTGTGATGCGAATGCAAAGGCCGACCGTTTTGTCCATGCAACAATTTTTCGCATAGGATTGTCGTAGTTTGTAAAGCTGGAGATACAGTAGCAGCCAATGTGATTGACGAAGTCAATCCATGTAAGCCATGAGTGTCAGAGGCTGTTGATATATTTAGTCTCGGGACAGTCTTTCACACAATATAGACAGGTATCCTATTTTCGCCGTAATGGAGTAAAAATGATTTTGAGATAATATGTACATTCATGATCGAACCCCCTCAAAACTCCATTCTCCTGAAACCAATGCCAATTAGACAAACATAAAATGTACAGGTTAAGCACCCAGCATCATAAAAGCCATAGCACCAGCCCAAGCAAAGACAAAGATCAACGTCAGAATACTGGCGCCAGCCTTATCCCCATTCGTAATAGGCTTCTCCTTGTCTTCATCACCACTCCCTTCACCCGCATTGGGATCACTGCTGCTGTTTCCACCAGTCTTGGAGGTGACAGGTCCAAACGTGCCGGTGTCGAAGTTGATCATGTTCGCAAGGAAGACATTCGTAGCACTGATCTCCTGCTCCATACCAGTTGTTCCATCCCACTTGTTTTGATACCACGCGATACCGCATGTGTTGTTGTTGTTTCCCGTGCAGGTCTTTGCGGCGGCTTGGGCAGAACTCGCGAGTTTGGGTTTGATCTGTGCTGCGGTGTCGGGGACTAGGAGTGCGGTGAATGCGAGCCATGAGGAGGTGAGGCCCTTGAAGAGAATTTCATTGAAATTACACTTTTTGATCGGTTCGCAGGTCGTGTCTTCGAAGACGTCGCCGTGCGGGAAGAAGGTCTTGAGGGTTCGGCCGAGGAGACCGTCGACTGGGGTCTTCCACTTTTCGTCGCTTGTCTGTACAGGTAGAGTGTTAGTATTATGTAAAATGAAAGAGTTGACCGCGCGGAATGGGTCAAGGATGAATATAGACTCCACTTACAAAGTTATACATGTAAGCAGCCCCCATCAGATATGTGCCGTAGTTGTAGGTCCACTGGTAGTTACCAGCGTCGGCGCAGTCATTGCTCATTTGCGTCGAGTCGGCAACATTCCAAGTCTTGTTGTTCACTAGGGGCGAGGAAACAGACCAGTCCCAGATCTTCTCGGCCCATTTCGTGTACTTGTCTTCATTCGTATAGCGGGCGAGACGGGCAGCAAGTTGGAATAGACCACCGTTTGATACGGCGTTCTTCATGGTATATCCGTCCTGGTAAGGGAAGAGCTGCCAACGCAGACCACCACCGCAGGTTGTCATATCCCATCGAGCAGTCTGGGTGTTGAATACACCCTGTGCGAGCGAAAGCCACGAGAATTTGTCCGGGACGTCGGGGAATTTCAGCTCGGCGGCCATCATAGCTGCGAGACCCCAAAACATTTGATCGTCATTTCCCTAGAGATTTGACAATGGTCAGAGCAATATCCTTGGGTGGTTTGGAATCGGCGTATGGTTCTCACCAGGTAACTACTGTAGTTGCTGGGCATGTAGTCACCCTTATCGCCCGATTGCCACTCCATTCCCTCGCTCATCAAAGAGTTGTAAGTGTCGTCACCGGTGAAGTGCCAGTATTGGAGAAGCGCAAGGAAAAGTGCAGACCCTTCCCACCATTTTTCAGGGAAAGCGCCAGGGATTTGTCCGGTTTCATTGCCGGCATACCATCCCATCATGGAGTAAGTACTCGTACTGGCGGCATCTTTAATTGATTCTGTCGAGTAATCGTAAGGTCAGTCCCATGCCATCTTTTATCGGAAAATCAATTCGAGTAGGCATGACGTACGTTCATCGCCGACGTCTAATTCGATCGCAGGCGTTAACGTTGAGAAGAGGAGTGTTGCGACGAGGCCATTAAGGATGGACCATGTTCTGGACAATTGCATGTCGGACTTAGGTCAATCATAGATAGTATCGATCTAAACAGAGAAACGGTTCGCCAAAGTGAAATTTGGGCGAGATCTTGTCAGAGGATGTTTGGGGGTTGAGGATGCGGCGCAATGATGTATGGGCAGACCCCCAACCCAAAGTTCCTAATTAAAAATAGTTTTCAGGGCGCTATCCACTTTTCTGTGGGGTTGAGAGAAATTGCAAGCTTTTGCTGGTCGATTTCGCAAAAAGACCGACGATCACCCAGAGCTATCATCTCGTTTGCCACTGAGCCGAGTATCGATTCCATCTGCATTCGTACAGGACAAGGACAGTTCATAGTTCAAAATAGGTATTGGTGTATCAGATGCTCATCTATAGAAGTGAAAGCGACAGATAAACAATAAAGGATCTATTGTCCCTGGATGGGTTAGGGCTTAGAGATGCCCCACTCTCGTGGTCACCACGCATATGCCAAGCCTGAAACGCGTGTAAGGCGAGACACAAGCTATTCGGATGGAACTTGGACCTCTTGGCTTTGGATATTCATTGCATACGTAATGTTTCATATTTATGTAGGGTGACATAAATAACTACGGAGTAGTATCCCTGAGATGTTTACCAATGACTCTCAGTCTATTCAAGTGAGGAAATGAAAATATTTCTGTTTTCGAAAATGACCGCATTAGGAAACCATGGGCCTGGGGCAGAAAGAGTGGGCCCAGGGGCCGCTGACGTCAGAGACGGGAGAGCCAATTTTCTTCTTTCGACGATCAAAAGGGCTGTGTTCCAACTCCAGGGGTTTCGCAGTTTGATTATGTCCACATCATACTTCTACACAACATACCTTGTCTCCTGAGGCTCGCCAAACGTGGGATTCTGACGGTTGTAATCCCAGAGCGAAAACGATTGATTGCGATAGTAGGGATAAGCCACAACTTACCCGACATGCATACAGGGTTATGTGAGGGGCGAACGCTTGAGAATAACTATCGATTTGCTACTGCCTTCGCCGCAGCCCCGAGCTATAATAATGATACAAAGAGCAATACACATTTCCGAATAACAATTCGCTATCTCAACCAGGCACTCGGGGTCCAATACACAACATCCAATAACAGCCAATTGGCCCCACATCGACGCCAATAGCTGCCTCTCAAACAGATTTGTTATAATAATATCCATGGTTCTCGCATTATGCTCCGAGGTGATGTTTTTCAGGCCTTGCCAGCCATCTTCAAGACAAGGTTCACTGCGTCACTCCAACAAATTCTACATGCTCGCAACATTCCCTGAGAACGAACCATGACCAATCCCTTAACTCGACCGACTTACAGTTCTTGCATGATTCCAATGACACAATTCACCAAATTCATTCACCACAAGTGAAACCCAGATATAAGCCCAGAAAATACTAATATCCACAAAGAAAGAATACCCAAGTATTCAGGAGAAAGACCACCATTTTGCCCGTTGATAACCCTCCTCTGCGCCGACCCATATCGATCATGACCGTACGTCGCATTGAGATGAACATCACCAGAAATCGACCCATCTTCCATCCGAATCCAAGTCTGTATATCATCCCCAAGCGACTGCCGATCCAACAAAATCTGCCTTCCACCACGCGCCCAATCCCCATACCCCCCGTATCCTGTATGACGGCCGTAGCACATGTTTATGCCATTTCCCGTGACATTGAGACCAGAAAGTTTACTATCCCATTTGAAGCACCTATCAAAATAAAAAAAGGTTAGTTAAGATCTTATTGCAGTTTGACTTGAAACTGAGAACATGTAGAGCATAGTGTGGCCCATACCAGTCATTATCGTGATCATGGCCACTGAAAGTTGCCATCATCCCCGTAGTGTTCAGCAAAGCGCTTATAAATAGGAAGTCTTGGGAATGGTAGCCGGAGTCGGCATCATAGCCTTGTTCCTGGACTCGTTCTCCGTTGATGCCTGGTTCGTTGATTGGGCTAACACCAGATTTCTGGAATGCACGCATTGCATGAACTGGGATATGGACGAAGGCTAGAGATGGGATTGTTTGTCCGTAGGTAGATGTTATGTTTGCATGGGATTCTTGAAACCATTCAACCACCTGTAACAAGTCAGTACGTGAAACCTCAATCACAAATCCCTGAATCCAGTAAGAGAGGACGTGAATGTCTTGGAGTTCATCAGCACCGTGGTACTTACGCTCTCATCTACCCAATTCTGTCTTGCTCCTGATTTACCATATTTCTTCTCTGTCAAGGCGTAATGGCCACCTTGACTGTCAAAGAACCACAATATAAACGCAGGGGTATCATCATTCGAACCCCCATGCGGAAATACTGGCAGGTAATAGTTCGTGATGCCAGCAGTGGAATTCAGAACCCTTCTCTGGGTTAAGCTGTTTTCATATTTTCTCTCTTGATGAAATATCTCTTCGGGGTTCAGATTAACCTCGCTGTCGTGATTCCCATAAGTCGATGCCCATGGTAAGCCATGGTCGACTAGTGGCGCGACAATCCGATCAACGTAGAGACTAGAGTTGGAGCTTTGTGTTGCTTCTCCAGAGATTAAATCTCCATTGAGTACTACGAGTTGCACCTCCTCTGAAGTAAGAACGGATCTCATTACCGCAATGGTTTTGTTGTCTGCTTCATGATCTTTGAATATAGTTAGTATCCCGAAACAATAGTTAGAATCTGTCATGGTACCTTCAGCAAAATGCAAGTCATTAAAGACTGATATTTGGAATGTGCCATTCTCAGTAAATCGCAACGTTTGGTCTCTGTCAAGACGTTGGTACGCAGACCGCCTGCGAATTGACATCGTTATATACTCAAGCTCAGGTATAAATTCACAATAGTGAAAGATCAAACTAGAGTAAATGAAATTCCTGTGGTTCTCAATATATGCTGCCAATTTTCGCACAATTTTCTAGTCGCTTATCCCAGATCCAATGAAATGTACCATGGGGATGGCAGTTGTGGATGGCAAGATGTAACCTTACAGAAACAGCGCCGCTTAGGTCCCAGTGAAGGAGAGCTATGATCCATGGTTTGGATGCCAAGGGTTTCCCCTGGGTGAAAATTTTGGTGACTGGCCGTTAAGACTATCGTACAATCTGCTTATTGTACGTCATGGCTAAATATCTATAGATGTTACTCTTAGTATTTTGAAGTGGGTCTCATCGTGACTTTTAACCTTTGGCTATTGGTGGCTTAGACTAATTAACCAATAAAATCATCACATTCTGACCCACCCAGTAAGCACAAAGCATAAATTGAGAGACCTTAAAATCCTTATATCCGAATGCCCAGATGTCAGCAAGGAGAACATGGATATGCATATGCATATCTAAACAAAAGATCCTCAGAGTACGGCTATCAATGGTCGACGCTATCTGATTAATCCACGAATAATATCACAGTCTCCAATCTTCTTCTCCAGGCCCCGCGCCAACCACTCGATATCCCCGGAGAGTATTCCCCTTGTTCTTTGTGATATCAGGCATCCGCCTTATACTAGGACCACTGAATGTCTAGATCTGCTCTATTGATGCGAACTGCAGTGGTTAGAGTGATGGCCGTAGAATCATGTTGTACCCCGCTACAACAGCAATGAAGCCAAGAACGTATTACCAAGCACCTTGTACAACAGCATGCTTAGGAGGCAAGGTTCACTGCCAAGAGCGGAGCATATTAGCGCGCTGCATACTGCTGACGCCAAGAGGACGTACATCCACCCACACATGAACCTTGGCGGCATCCTTTTGACTGCGGAGCTTTTAATTTAACTCCGAGGATTCCATAATGTAGGAGCCTGGACAGAATCGGAAGGTTTAAAGTTTGCATATCTGTGATAGTTGATCTATTGATTGAAGGGGGGTTTTATAGGACAGAAACGAGGTAAGACACAAATAAACCAGGTGGTTGTAAATCATGGCGGTCAACGAAGATGAACTCTATTGTTGCATAGCCTTCTCATTTTGTGCTTACTTGCAAATATTGTGCAGTACTTGATGCAGTACTTCCAATGATGCAGTAGTTGGGCTCTCTGCCCACAATTTGTACTACAATGTGCAAATGTACATGAAAACTACGGCACGTTTTTGGGTCCATCGCGCCAACCTATGCACAAGCCCTTATAAGCATGGGCTTATTTCTCAATTTTCAAGCAATATTTCATGAACTCGATATATGCCCTACTCCAAAATACCTATAATCTCTAAATCGCTCGTACATCCTGTAGAGAAAATCTAGCGCTACTATAAAACCCACTTTGTATCATCTTTCTATTGGTCATCTTTCTATTGGTTTTTTTGAAGGTCTTTTCTAGGGGCAAAAAGCCCGGTTGGCGTGATGGACACAAAAGCATACCGTAGACAACTCGGTTTCCAAGGAAACCAACTTATCTTCCCAGTACGAAAAGACCCAGCATGTCAGCCAATATATGACAATGACTCCCACGTTCGGTGGAGTTTCAGATCATTGTCCTACACTCTTCACAGATGGCTAATATCATACACTCCCTATTATTACTCCTCACATTCATCCACACTCTATGCCTCGCCCATTCCCCCACTCTCCGCGAAATCCACAGATTCCCCAACGGAACCTGGGTCGAAAATATCGCAGTCAGACCCAACGGCAACATCATCGTCACTATACTGAGCACAGCAGAGCTCTGGGAAATTGACCCTTCCATCCCATCAGGTCCTGGCTCAGCCCGACTAGTCCACCACTTCGACGGTGCCGAAGACGCAGATGGGATCACGGAGCTTTCGTCAGATATCTATGCAGTCATCGCATCCAACTCGGTCTGGACGATCAATCTTAGAAACCACGAGCCTTCTAAGCCAATCCTGATCGCGAAACTCCCCGCTGGCTATTTGAACGGTATCGTTGCTCTAGATGAAGGAAACGCAGTCGCCATCACCGACTCCCAACTCGGTCTTGTATGGCGACTTGATCTCCGCACAGGCAGCTACAGCGTGATCCACCAAGACGAGTCAATGGCCGCAAATGATGACATGGGCTTATTACTTGGAGTCAACGGGTTGAAGATAGTAAACGACTATATGTACTACAGCAACAGCCCGAAACGGATTTTCTGTCGTGTGAGAATTGATACACATACCGGTCGTGCTTTGGGGCCTTATGAGGTTATCGGCAACGATACACGAGCCGATGACTTTGCTATTGGCCCGCATGAAGTTGGTTATTTAGCGGGTATTGTGGATGATGTGGTTATTAGGGTCTTTCCTAATGGGTATCATGAGGTTATTGCGGGTTCGAAGGGCTCGACGGATTTGATGACTGCTACGTCGGCAGCTTTTGGGAGGACACAGAAAGATCGCAACGTTCTTTATATTACTACTGGAGGGGAAACCAAGCTTCCTGTTCATAGCACGAGCACCAGAGGAGGGAAGGTTATGGCGCTTTCTGTGGAGTTTTAGGAGGTTATCTCCTCGTATGTTATGCTAGATTGCCATTTTATGGATTCTTCATTTTATTCACACAAACGTCAAGCCGTTTTCCGTTTCAAGATTAGAAGCTCGACTAGTTAAGGGTCTAAAGAACTTCACAAAACTTCTCAGAATATCAAACCAAGGTATCTAAATTCTTGAAGAGAAGTCAAGGTCATATGTACGGATTTCCATTCCATTCCTAGCAACGAAACAAGACACTGAATGCCATTATGAATACCTGCGCTTGCATGATCGTGTCGATCTCCAATTCCTTCCATTGCTCCGTGATATCATCTTTTTTTTTTCTATTTTCATGTTGAAAGGTTGGACATCGCTTCTTAAACACAAACCCCTTATACACTTACATACGCATTCATGAACACAAATGCGGATAACTATCATGACTCGATTTCACCGCGGCGAAGTGCTAACAAGGCCCGGACATCCGTGACAGATTGTAAAGCTTCGAGCATGGGAATCAAATGGAGCAGACCGTTGTCTGTTGGGTCGTTGATCCAACCTTCAATGGGAATCGCATTGTCTGGAAATAATTATTAGTCCGAGCGCACAATGATAGATAGACGTGATTATTACCTTCGTGGAAGATATAGCTCATCGGGCTGTTGTCCAGAATCATCACCTTACTCAGATCCGGTTCCACAGAGCTCAAGTCCTTGATGTACGCCCCGTTACGGAATGTGCAATGCTGTCGGTATAGACGGCCTTGGAAGTATTTCCGTTCCGACTCTAGCCAATCGATAACAGGGTCGGCATACTCTTGGACGCTGGCTGTGAAAACGACAAGCTTATACCACTTGCTGACCTTGCGCAGGAACTCATCGCAGTGTGGCCGCTTATGGACGTAGTACAAAATGGGATGCTGGGGGCCCAGTGTCGTTTGTGGCCCGCCAGGGGACAATGAAGTAGTTGTGGGTATTGAGAGCTTAACCTCGACCATGTGACCACTGGACATGCGGCCACCCTTGGCGAGCGAGTGGATTAGGGTCTCATCGAGATCCAGCACCAAGGTCTTCTGCGGGGGTCTGGCATTGCGGGGAGCTGCAGTGTATGAAGGTACTCGTGGCGGGAGAAGTGGGCGCGGTGGGGTGGGGGAGTGTGGGTACTTTGTTATGCGGTGGATGTTGGGAGAGGTTGGGGATTTCAAGCTATCCAAGTGGACAGCACCCTGGACGCGAGAGACACCCTCGGGCATTGGATGTCCTAAATCTGAACTTTGGGATCTTCGATGTCTCTGCCGCTTGAGAGATTCTTCATTATGGAGCTTGATGCGTATAGACCGACGGGGCGTGTGCTCGTGCTCTTCCCCTTCTGGAATTGGATCTGTATCGTGGCTCTTTGTCTTGGCGGGTCGGTTCCTCCCACTTGAGAGATGTTTGATATGCCGTCGATCTGTGTCGGACTCTGACGTTGTTGATACAATGGATTCATGAGAGCCTTGAGGCCGGAGCTTCCGAGTGGAGCCACTGCGACGCCGACCTTCTATCCGGGTGGCCCCTTTATCCGACCGGATCGTTGGGGCGGCAGATGAGCGCCGCAGTTTCCGGACAGGTGCAAGAAGTGAGTAGCGACCATCGTCGGTCTGAAAGCATTGAGCCAAATACACACCAGGTGCAGCAAACGTAGACAGAATAAACTTGAGCGTTTCCGTGATCGCATCGAAAAACCGTTGGGAAATTAGTCGCCAAGTACTTCGAGCAGTGAGCGTGCCATTCTTGTGAGCTTCATGCAGTAACGGTGTCTTCTCGTCTAAGTCATATGTCGTATCCTCCTCTACATCTTCGTTCACGGGCGGTGGTCCACCGTCGTAGCTCTTCTCAGTAGGGTCGAGGGACCGAAAGTTATCCACGCTATAAGACCGGAGTTTCGAGAAGTCTGCCGGTAGGGGTGCACGTTTGCTATCGCCTTGAGACTGCGATCTATGGCGTGAAGAGTTGGAAGATTGGCCAATGACTCGCGAGGACAGGATATTCAGCGAGTTCATCTTCCCTCAAGGCGTCACGGGAGACGGGGGCGCAGCGATCTATTGACAAACGGATCGTGAGTAAATCATCAAACCCACTTAGAGCGGTCCATGAGATAGTGTAGGATGTGATATGGCTGAGGGAAAGAGGGGGATCGCAGGGAGGCGTAAGCTGTTCTAACCTCAATGCGCCAGTCACCCGTGCCTCGGAAGTACTTCCGCAACTCCAAATCTGAAATATACAAGCTCAAAGCTGAAAGCAATCCAAAACCTAACCGGAAATGAAATAATAGAAATGCGAAAACTGAAAGAACACCAATAGGAAAGCCGTAGCCGAGACAATAGAGTGATCAATGAGTGTGGGGAAGCGGACAAGATCAAACGGCAGAAAATCATTCTTTGTCTCTCCCACTATCTCTGGCTCTGAGTATCTGAGCATCTCTTGATAAAACCCTTTCTATTTACATGCTTAGTGTGCTTTGGATCTGAAACTTGGTATGTTGATTATTCGAACACTATATACTTCTATCGCTCAATCCCCCGCTGACACCGTGCAGATTTCCTCCAAACATCCCACTTCCTCATGCCGTCTTCTTCGTTGGCCCTCACGCCGGGCCTGGGGTCATTCCTCAAGTGCCTCAAGACAAACCCCATTGATACATCTATTGAGACTCTGATTTCGTGCGTATCTCGAGACTTCCAGCCATGGCCGCTACCCCCACCGACGATCAAACTTGCTAAAATAGTATATTTCAATCAGCTTGCTCAAGCGTCGTCAAATTCGCCATTCGCGATCATGTGCCACAGCAACCGCCTATTTGCTGCGGAGTGTGATCTCTGCATGCCGCACAACAGATTCAGCAAAGCTTATTGAGCGGGTGCAGAGTGTGGGCAGGCGACTGATGGCCGCGCAACCGCGCGAGATGGTTGTGGGCAATATCGTGCGCCGGGTCCTAGGTCTTATTCGTGACGAAGCGGAAGATGATCGCGATGCGGAGTTCGCCCTTAGCGATATTGGTTCCGAGAGTCAGCCACAAACACCCCGAGCTTATGACGGTGAGTCTCAACTTCTGGTCCAAATATCTACGCAGCAGTGACTCATAAATTTGTAGATCCAGCATTGCCTTTGGATCGCGATTCGCTCTCCATCCGGCCCGATGATAGATCCTCTCGCCCCCCTCTGACCTCTATGTTCAGCCTTCTCTCCCATCCCGAGCCCGAGAACTCACTTCCCAGCACTCCGGGATCCTCCTCTCCAAGCGGACGCCTCCCTGGCCACGGCCCAAGCAAAGACGTACGGGCCGAAGTTCTCGAGGGTATTGGCGAGATCATTGATGAGCTTGGCCAGGTGGATGACCAGATCGCAGCCTACGCATTGGACCACATTCACTCCAACGAAATCATCCTCACCCACACATCCTCGACCACTGTCCAAAAATTCCTGCTTAAGGCCGCCACAAAGCGAAAGTTCACCGTCATCCACGCTGAGTCGTACCCAAATAATCACGAGGCTACGCACGCCACTGTCAGTGGTAGCGCTAGCGACGATGACAATCTCGGCTTGGAGGCTTTCCAGAAGCCACTGATTGAGCACGGCATCACCGTCATCCTCATCCCAGATTCTGCCGTCTTCGCTATCATGTCGCGAGTCAACAAGGTCATCCTCGGCACACACTCCGTCCTTGCCAACGGCGGCCTCGTTGCTGCAGCTGGCACTCGTGTCATCGCCCGTGCCGCCAAGGTCCACCAGACCCCTGTCGTGGTCGTGAGCGGTGTTTACAAGCTCAGCCCTGTCTACCCATTCGACTTCGACTCGCTCATTGAATACGGTGACCCGAGCAAGGTCCTCTCATACGAGGAAGGTGATCTCGTGGACCTGGTCGATGTCCAAAACCCCATCTATGACTACGTTCCCGCAGAGCTCGTCGATCTTTACATCACTAACATGTACGTTTCAAGAACCCAATCCACTCGCTGGTCTCATTTCATAATGCTAACTTGCTTTCCTTACTCCAGCGGCGGTCATGCCCCATCATATCTTTACCGCATTGTCTCAGACCACTACCGCAAAGAAGATATCAGCTTCTAAGCTGGTGGTTGGCTGAAGCAATTGTGTCAAACAGCCCATGAAAATCAACAAAAAAAACATTTGAGGGACATTTGCACGAACGATACCCGAGGAATTACTTTGACGATTGATACGCAGAAGTAATGAATAAAAATAACTAAATTTCTTTTCATCTTCGCTAATATTTAGAAAGCGCTATGCTAGCCAATACATTAGACTCTCTCGCACATATCAAGTAGACTTTGCAGTTGAACTTCGCCTGGCATATAGATCTGGCTAAGCACTAGTAGCAGTATAGAATATCTAATATGCCTAACTATCCTATTATTAGATTGCATGCAAAATCATTATCTGCCATAAAAGCTGTCGATATATATGTATCTATAAAATGGCTTTGCAAGCATATATGTTACAGTTATATATCATTCTTTTATCTGTATTTCTTCCTAAACTTTCTCCCAGCACCCCAGGCCTTTCAATCACCACTGTACAGAAGACCAAGAAGGCCAACAGACCTTTATATGCTGATCTTTGGGTGTCTCCTTGGCGATATAGACCAACTATTTCGTGCAAAAATGAGGCTAACACTTATCCAAGGCTAGTACCAAGGAAATCTAACGGCTACTGAAAAAGGCGTGAGTTGAATATATATATGTATGGCCATCCATACAAACTCGGAGTGCATAACATATATATAGTGGCCATTGCAATCACTAGACACCCCACATGCGAAGGACTTTTTTTGTAACCAGGAAATGAACTATAAGGTCTAGAAGCATGGGATAGACTATGCCTGTACGGATAACTCCCCAGACATACTCCATCAACAACTCCACATGGACATAGTCTGATTTATGTATTCAACAGCTTGCATATTTACATCAAACCATGTCCATGAATGCTGTATCCACACCAAGGTCCTATCCTACGCTTTACTCTATGTCTCCAACAGACAACTCTAACAAGGATCCAGGAACCCAGTGAAGTATACGAGAAGGCCAGAAACCCGGGAAAGATATAGAAAGTCATGGCGCCATAATCTTTTGGAGGTTGTATCAATCGTGTTTAATTCGCAAATAAGCGGATCCACCACATTCCGGACGAAAGCCCGCCGGGGGACTCCCCAAAAAGAAAATATCTCATGAAATCAAGGCGCTGATGAGGCGGGCTTTCCGTCCGGCACCGTTCCCACACTCCAAGGCTCCCGGTCGCTGCATTTTTGATTTCGAACAGAACGCGTCGAGTTGTTTAAGAGCGGGGCTTCTCCTTCTTCTCCTTCCACAGAGCGGCGAGACCGACACCGGAGACCTTGACGACCTTGAAACGGACACCGGGAATATCACCCTTGGCCTTACCCTTGCGACCGAAACCGGCGAGCAGGACCTCGTCGTTCTCGTCGATGAAGTTCAAGCAACCGTCATTGGGGACTGTAGAAATATGCTAGTTAGCACATGTTTTGTGGGAGCTGTGTGGCGGTTTCCATCTTGTCGTAACTCTAAATCGTATAGGCCTTTCCAACACATTCATAACAATAACAGTAAGGAACGGGGTTACCCACCGAAAGCAGCGACCTTCTTGCCGTTCTTGATGAGCTGGACCTTGACACACTTGCGAATGGCGGAGTTGGGCTGCTTGGCCTCAACACCGACCTTCTCGAGAACGATACCCTTGGCGTGGGAAGCACCACCGAAGGGAGAGGACTTGTAGGCGGTTCCGAGAAGACGCTTCTTGAAGTGGTCATCAGCCCAGCGCTGATCCTTGCGGTGCGCCTGGAGCTTGCGGGCGGCGTTCAAACCACGGGGTTGTCCTTTACCCATGTTGGCGGATTATGTGTTCGACGGTCAACTGAACGAAAAAAATAAAAATTAGCCTCGTGTCGAGTGTAACGGTGGTTCTGTTGTTTGTGGGTGTTTTCGATGCGTGTTCATGTGTGGTGGAGGCCGAGTTTTTGTGCGTGGAAATGGATGCGATCGTTGAAGGATCTCGCAGTACCACGAATAAAATATTTCGGAAAAGCACAAACAATGCAGGGGGAAACAGCAGGATATCGAATACGTACCGACTGGGAGGGGTGTTGTCGGCCAAAGGGGCTGAGGGTCGATTGTCGAAAAGTCGAAGAGTTCCGGATTTCCCTTACCACACGCTTTGGATGCACCTCAGGTGACTTTGTGCGCTTAGCCCTAAGCGAGTCACGGGACAGTCGTAGCCCCCACTCGTGATTATGTCATCATACCGATAACGATAAGATTATCAGCTACCGGGGCCGTCATCAACCCCATTCGGATACTCAATGTCTGTTGTTCTCTCAAGCATTTGTTGAAGATGGATTTGTCAAGAAAGCCAACAAATCCAAATTCTCAACGCCTGCCTCCCCCAGCCCTTTTCCAGGGCCCACCATCACACAATGCCTCTAATATCTCATTGTCCGTACCACCTGCAGGCTCATCGTTAGCATCTGCCTCTGGCAGCCAACCTTCACCCCTGAATCGGAACCGGTCACGCGGAACCGATGGCACAACCCCCGAAAAGTCGAGCTTGTTATCACCCTTAATATCGCGCCGCCCCTCCAAAAACGATGTAGACGGATCCGACGCCATCTGGCAGGAGATGCAGAGCGCCCTGTCGGAAGTGGAACTGAGCGCTGTGACGAGCGAGAATGTCTTCGGTGCAAAGCACTCGGAAGCATTGGAAGATCTACGCATGAAGCAGTTGAAGCTCGCTCAAGCCTGGGCACGCAGTGAGGCAGACGATGAAGTTGTGGATCCCGGTCACAGCGGTGCCGAAAAAGCCAGCGAAGCCAGCCCAACCCGGGGAGGTGCGGGAGAGTCGAACCAACAGTACGATACAGCAACGGAAACTAGCGCAGGCCGCGGTTCGGTGTTGCACCGCACGTTGGACGATGACACCGAGAAAGACATTAGTCTTGCGCGAAAGCGCCGCGAGGCTAATGACCGGTACTTTGACCGGGTCAACCAGGGCGTTTTGGATGTCGTTGCTAAACTGGAGGATGTGGCTCAGGCCATGCGCACCGTTGAGCGGGAAAGCAAGGATATCTGGAGTGATTCGGATAGTGTCACGACAACTGCGCCGTCATCACCTCATGCAAGTTGAACCCCTGAGTCTTCCAGTTGATTTAGCTGTAGCCCCGCCTTTGCTGCATTGATTTCATTTACATATCTTCCAGCGGGCCAGTGCGAAAGTCCCAGGATTGATCAGGTCATCACCGACTCTTGCCGACTGCATTGATATCTCTATCCCATCTGGGAATGCGCTGGACGCATTTACAGTATCCCCCGGTGGAAATAATAATACTAATACATGTAAATTATCACACAACTAAATCAAGGGTATCCAAACTCCAGTGCTCAAATCCAAACCCAAACAAGCAGTCATGATAATACATCCAAGGAATCTTTTGAGCCAAGCCTTTGCTTTAGTCCCAGAGATAATCCTTCATTCTCGTTTCACCACTCGTACAGCAGCCTTCCAGCCTTCTGAAGCAGCTCCTCTCACATCCTCCCATCTCGTCTCATAAGCCTTTTTTGTCAAGACTTCCACTTCCTTATTCCATCTGTGCTTGAGTATCTCCTTCATAGTCGGTTCAGCTTGCTTTTGCGCTTCCAATTCTTCGCGTCGCCGTCTTGGCATGTCTTCTGGTAGGAAGCGCCGGTCATAGGCGCCAGCCGAGGAGGTCAACCAGTCTATTTGCTCGACTTGCGTGTGGATGGCGTTGCGTTGTGATATGCGTGTTGAACGGTGGACTTGGATGGTAATATAGAGAACGGATGAGGTGAAGGCAAAGCCGCCGACCTATTCCAGTGTGAATTGGGTTAGTCCTTGTTTCCTGGTACGAATTCGAGGGTAGACCGTACAAAGCCTGTGAAGAAGCCCATAGTTGTTGTGGTGTTTGGAGTCGCCGGATTGCCCGATTTATTCGTGAAGGTGAATCGAAAATACGAAAGGTTGCGCAAGTGTTTTGTGATTATAGATCTGGTCTTTTCCCGGTAATAAAAATGCTTAGCTGAAATGTATTCAGAAAGCTGAATGTCCTCGAACAAGCAGAGTGAACGCGGAAAACTGAAGTCGGACTGACGGTGGAAGCGCTCCGATTGGCCAGGACAATTCTTCTGGGCCGAACATCCTCTCTCCTTCATCTTCAGGAACACCTTGGTTTGGCCATTGACCACGCGATTCCCACCTTACTTTTAATAACTCGGCCTTTTTCTACATCTTCTCCCCCCCTAAACAACCCTCACCATGGCCGGCGGTGGAAGCAGATACCGCCACTTGAGCCGCGACTCCGCGCATCGACAGGCCCTGCTCCGAAATCTGGTGACCTCCCTTTTCGAGCATGAGTCAATCACTACAACATGGGCCAAGGCCAAAGAGGCCCAGCGCTTAGCCGAGAAATTGATTACCCTGGGCAAGAAGAACACCGAAGCCAGTCGGCGACGAGCATTGGAGATTTTCTACGTACGTTGAATTCCCGGACAACAAGCCCACCCCGATTCCAATCACGACGGGGATCAGTCCAGTCACGAGAAACAATGGGTTTACCAATTCAGTGATGAACCACTGCAATTCTCAATCCATTAACCTCAAGAGAGAAAAAAAATCAACAATCCAATGACAACACTAACATCCCCTAGACACCACATGAAATGCTCCCTAAACTCTTCGGTCCCCTCCGCGAGCGCTACGCAGACCGACCAGGCGGTTACACACGAGTCCTCCGCATCGAACCTCGCGAAAAGAACGAGTACTTCTCCCCCAAGAAGGGTGTCAAAAACGCCGTCCGAGAGCCTAAACCCCAGGTCAAGGCTCCCTCCGCCATCCTCGAGCTGGTCGATGGGCCGAAGGATATTCGTTTCGCTATGACTGCGCGCACGGTGGCACGCGAGCGCGAGCAGGGCCGGGATCTCGTGCACGCGCTTACGAGGTTGAATGTGAAGAAGGTCACACAGTTCCGGAAGGATGGTGTTGAGGTTTTGGAGCAGGCAATCTCCAAGCTCAGTTTGGCCAAGAAGCAAAGTGAAAAGCTCGCTAAGAAGGAAGCTGAGGGTGAGTCGAGGGTTTAGATGTGGGGAGTGCTAGCTCTCTTTTGTGGGGGTTCTACTTCGGAATCCTCAGCCTGGGGATGATTTCTGAGATCTGTCTGGGATATGCTTTCTCCTAGGCTTGATGGGTGTGTTCGATGTTGACACCATTCTGCTTGGTCTCTGGGGTTAACTCCGTTGTTCTTTACTTGTTTTTCTTACCAGGAGTTCTGTCTTCTTCCTGTTTATTATGGCATCTCCGTCTTCGTTTGCACTCGCCCATGTGACATAGCCTCTGTATAAAAGATTTTGATACCTCTATTCACACTCCTTCGTTGGTTTGTTAGCTTTGGGTAAAAGTTTGTGTTTACTCATACTGGGGAAGGGCCGCCGTATAGAATATTTCATTCGGGGCTTATATATAGATATAGAGCTCGGCCACTGCCTATTAGACAGCATACCATAATCAAGGGCGCTGCCAACAAATACTCGTGCATCACAGCCCTGGATATGTTCAGAACCCGGCATCTTGTCTTTGTTGATGCCTGACGATCTAGGCATCAATATATGGATCTCAACAACCAACCTTCACAACAACGCCATGACCTGCAATGCAGATCAAATTGAACGCTCACCGTAATTAATAAGGGTCTTTATTGCATCGGTATTGATGCTAAATAACTTTTGCATGAGTTGGTGATTATATTGTCAATGCTAGTGTGACATTGACGAACTATATATATATGACCAGTGAGATGAATACCTAGTTGCCGGCACGTTGATACATGTTCCATAACTATCTCATTAAGAAAGTTTATATGGGCAATTCATATAAAAGACCCATCATTTCTATTTGGGATCTGGTGAGAAATTGGGAATTGCTAATACCTTGGCACTATTACTAACACATAGCTCAGGCGTTATGGCTCAGCTGCTGAGATTTTGTAGGTGTAAATGGAGTTTCAAACTTAGATTAACGATGGGACTATTTTCGCATGTTCTGATTGGTCTAGATTTCAAGCCAAAATCCAAGTAATTTAAGACAGACAGGTTTAGGCAATATATTTTCTTACTCTAAAATGGGGGTTAGATCGACACCAGTGGAAAGATTATGGCTTAGCTATACGAATATACATCCGTCGCCTTTATTACGAAACGCATATCGTGGACAGAGCTGCATTAGCTGACGCTGGTTGGTCATCTCCGAGTTTTGCTCTTCTAATTCTGCATTGGACTTAGGGCTTTACCCGGGTGAAGCCTAAATACGAAGGGGATTAGTACTTTGTACATACTCCGTCCTAGGTGCGATGAGGCTGGTTTCATCTACGATAGGTTTTTAACTTGGTGTTTAGCAAACTTATATGTAAACGGGGCTTGAGTTATCACCCCAAATACAAAGGCGATAACTATTTATATCTGAATACAAGGAGCGCGGGCCGACCCTACGGGGCGGCCTCACCCTATAAAAAACCAAATAAAAGTTATTAGAGGGCTCGCCAGTTTATTAGAATAAGACTGAATATTGAATAAAATAAAAAAGCGAGAAGACTCCTACCTACACTCTTATAGCGCAAAACCGAATTGCAAATACGTATATATAGGTGACTCTATAGCCTCCTCAACCAGAATAAAACTCTTCAAGCAATTAGACCTGAAATTGCCATCTTCAAAAACCATCCATGATCCGACCCTTCCAGAAGTGGTCAAAGTTCCCTGCAGACTCTGAACGCCTATTCCTGGGGCGACGGTTGACAAGATCTGATATATCAACTGCAGCCCCGACGCAAGAGACTAGTGCCACTCGCACACGGCAATTGCAATCAAGGGACAAAAGTTTCATGCAGAATTATCAATAGTTGAACTCTCTAGCATATGACCCAAGCGCATGTTGTTACCGGTTTGCCCAAGGGGTCATTTATTCATCTACGTCGCTTAGTCCTGGGAGATATTCAAAGCTTCAATTTTCCCTCTCTCTAAAACCTCAGTGCTCAGCAGGATCTGAACTCTGGTCAAAAAATATAGAGCGATTGATTTCTTGTTGTTCAGCATTCGATACCCATTCTTACTACACCGCAACTTTCTTATATGAAGTATGCAATACACATATTCCCAACTATACTCTCCAGTGTTCAACTCCCATTAACTTCCCCCAGGACAGAAAAACATACTCAGAACAATTGCTCAAAATGGAAAAAGTGTCCATCGAAACACAGAACCCGCTCCGGCAAAATGCTCCAAGCCCAGTAAACGCCAGCACCTACAAAGAGGTCGCAGCGTCACCTCGTTCAAACATCGAACACAGCATAAAAGAGGACTGCACCCTGGAAGTCAATGACCGGGACTGCACACTAGAGTTCAGCGACCGAGCCTGCAACCTGGAACTCAATCAATATGCCGGCGACAGACACACAGAGAAGCAGGTTGAGGCCGGAGTCGGAGCTGCAGACGGAAACCAAGCAGAGGCGAGTGGACGACGGTCCACAGAAGACGGGAAACAAGATCAGGATCCGGAGTCACAATCTGTGACAGGAACGGTCAGGCGTCATAGGTCTCGTCGGCGGGAGTGGATTATCGCTGGTTCTGTTTTTGGGGTTGTTATTCTTCTTGTCGTTATTATTGTTCCTTCTGTGATATTTGGGACTCGTCATTATAGGCCGCAGTATGAGCCGCCTAAGAATCCGTATGTTGTATGAGACAGTTGAGGGTTGATATCTGAGGGGGCGCGAATGTATAGATCGAGGGCTAGAGAACTGGATGTGAATATGGAGGGTCCAAGTGCTGTTCCTTCGTCTCGTAGTTTAGAGTTGGCCAGATAATATACAAATTGAGAAGTCAATGCCATATTGGGTATACTTACCCCCTAAATTAGTAACTTCTCTACTACTTGAATTCTCCCCTCTGCTCTTCTGCCAACTCGACCAATTAAAAGACAGTCACATGATATCAATAAACCCTAACTACCAGTAGTACTCCTGAGTATATCTAGGCTTTGCATGATCTTTGCTGCACTGATTTTACACCGTCCATACGCCCTTGGACATACTTTCCAAGCGCAGAATTTTCCTTTTCTGACATACTGCGTCTCGCCTCAGCAGCGCGTGCAAAGCCCATCTCTCCTCTGACCCCAATAAGTGCACCAAAGATCGAGAAAACAGCACTTTTGGGGTCCTCAACAATCCCATAAACACCAAATGCTGCATTTCCAGCCTCTCCAGCCAGCATCACAACCCGCCCGATAGTGGCCAGTCCCAAAGTCCCGATGGTTTCGCCCACCGCAGGGACCAACATCACCAAAGCAGCTGCGAAGTTGATGATCATTTCCTTCTTATATTCCGCCGTAATCTTGTCTGCCGTGTCCATGACTTTTTGCATCTGCTCAATAGCAGACTCAGTCATGAAGAGGGGCATCTCGGCTGCCTGGATCGCATCTGCGATATCTTCAGTGTAAAGGAACGCACTTGCGTCATATGCCGACTCGTCGAGTTGGTTGCCAAAATCCGTGAGGTTCTTCATTGCCCCTGAAATTGTCTCTTTGGGGTTTGGAACCTTCATCCGATCGTCGTCTTGATTTGGCCAGCCGTGCCAGTATAGTTCACAGTTCCTCACACTATTACCCCCACCCGAAGGGTGGCAGCCGGGCTCGACCCACACCCACAGGTCACCGAACTTGATCCAGGATTCATCAATTCCATACTTGTCCATCATATCCTTGTAAAATCCCTTTTCGTCATCTAGAACATAGGTGATTTCGTCTGGACCCTTGAAATGATCAGTGGGTAAAGTAGTTGGGCAGGCCACTGTCTTCTTGTTCTCATCGTTGGTGTCGATACAATGGAAACGGTCTTCTGCATGGTGTTTCATGTAATCTTCAACTTCCACGCGCATGGTTTCGTTGACATACTTTTCGTACGTATCAAACTTGTCATCGTAACCATCATCGAGGAGATCAGTGTACGTTGACATTGCCTTCCTAAAGTCTTTGCTCATGATACCCAGCGCATAGATATTGACACAGTAGTGTGGAACATCGTCACCGGCCTTGGATAGGTCCACCAGAGTATCGAAGCTGTCGCCGCAATATTTCACTTCGATCTCCTCATCAGACGGCTGTGTGTACATATCCATCAAATCGACGGCCCAGTCACTCACTCCACCCCATCCACGGCCCAGAAGCATGAGTTCCCATTCCGTTTTTCGATCCTGGCTCATGTACGCCACATATTCGGTCTTGTTATAAACGAGGATATCCGAATATGATGCCTTGTCAAAGGTGCTCGTACGGTCTGGGTTAGTATCAATGATCTCGTTGATTTCTGCCGTGCTAAGGTATCCTGCTGTGTCCGTACAGCGGCCCTTACGAGCACCGGACTTAGGACCGGTGTACGTGCACATAGGGCCTGAGCACCCTTCCTTGGTCATCTTGAAGGACCGCCCATAGCTGGCGACACCAACGACAACCTTCTCGGCGGGCATACCCGCTTTTTGGATCATGCTCATAGACATCCGTGCCTCCGTAACATTGACATGGGACCGAAGACAGTTCCCATCCGGGCAACCGTCTATGGCCCAGGAATTGTCATAGTCCCACTGCCCGTGGAGATCGTAGGTCATGTAGATGACGTAGTCAACAACATCTGCGAAATCGGGAATGGGATCGAATCCTCGGAGGTACCAATATGAAGCTGGCATTGCGACAGATAGCGACTTGCCCTTTGGCAGCTGCTTCTTGACCATTTTCAAGAACTTGAGGTAGTTTGCTCCGTCCTCTGGGCTGCCCGCTGGAATGTCAGGGAGATCTGGAGCTCCAGGATATTCCCAGTCAAAGTCTAGGCCATCAAGGTTGTGCAGCTTCAGGAAAGCGACGACGTTGTCGGCAAACTTCTGCCGCTGAGCATCCGTGACACCCTGACGGAAAATGGGAAATGTTTCGGGTGCGGTGGAAAAAGCCCATCCACCAAAAGAGAGAATGCGATTGAAATCCTTCATCCCCACAAAGGCATTGAATGAGGGTTTGACATCTTCGATATCAACTTCCAGATCCTTTGTGATGTTGGCAAAGGCAAAATGGACATGGCTGTAGGTTCCTTTCGACGGAATGTCCGTAACATCCATGTTCATGCAAGGTCGGTTGGAGTTCCATGCCTCAAAATAAACGATCATTTTGAAATCAGGGGGTTCGGTGGTACCGGGCTTTATGTGATTCCCACAATTGGAAATACAGCCGTTTTCATCTTCAGCGGCAGTTCCAGGCGCGCCAGTGGTTGAATTAGATTCAGTGCAGAAATCATCTGTGATACCACACTGTCCCCAAATATTGCAGCAGGCATTTAGCTTACAGGGGTTTAACTCTGCTAGCTTAGTGCGGTCGGTGGGTTTTTTGGTTCCAGACACTTGAGGACCGCATACAGCATTGGAAAGCTCTGCGGGCATTGGGGGGTCGCCTTTGCTGAGACACATAATCTGGCTGTATCCAAGAGCATCGCAGCCCGACCAGCCCCATGTCTCCTTGTTAAAAGATTCGATATCTTTGACAGAGATTCGGTTGGCGGCAGCGATCTTAAAGCAGGTATCCTCGCGAATGGTTTTGTAGGTGAAACAGGTACCATCTGCCTTTGGTTTGGGCTTGAGGTCGGGAACATCACCCTTGGAGCAGCAAATAATTTGTCCTGCAGTCAAAGTTGTACAGAGGTCCTTTTTAGGATTGAACTTGGCCAGATCAGCTTCGCTGATGCCACAGCTTTTTGCCAGTACAGGGCAAAGATTTCCAGCAAAAACGGTGATATAGTCACAAGAGGCTTGCGCAGAGATGGCTGAAGTCTTCATTTGAGGTTTGTGCAGTTTCTGGGAAGTTTGGAGAGTCATTTGGCTCCAATCTTTCTTCTCGTGCTCCCAGTCAGAAGAACTGTCTGCCAGTCTCCAGCCCCTGACTACATCTTGAACGCCAGCTAGGTCGCCAGTGGTGTCAATGACAATACCAACAGTATGTTCTGCGTCTGTAGCACAATGTTGAAGGGCGAGGCGTCGAGGAACCTGGGCGCTCTTCAGATAGGAGATGAACTTGGGAAGGAACTCATCGGTGACGCTCTGAGGTTGGATCTGCTCACCAGCATATACACCAACGACGATTTTTTGCGAATAGGCAAATCTGAGAGTGGTGTCACAGTCAGAGGTTTTCCGCAGTTGCTCGTGTATTGTCTCCACAAGCGAAACGGCCATCTCCGAACTTTCCGAGGCAACATCTCCAGACCACACTAGGTCAGGGGAGGCGACAAATTTACTGTTGGAGTCACAAGATAAAGATGTTTGCTGAGTGGAATTTGTGGTACTGTCGAGTGTACATGCAAACAGCATGGGTTGTGCTTTGGGATTGTCAAGCGGGTTGTGCAATGCGAAGTCGAGAAGCATTGTCTTGTTGCATGCATTGAGTCGGTCGACTCGATTATACAATGTCCAGTCGGATGAATCGGAGGTCATGTCGCAAGCATCAGGACACGCATGAATCGCAGACAAAAACTCGCATTGTGCCGCCGAGGTGAGGGCTGCTGCCAGCACCAACCAACGGACTTGCACCATGATTTTGTGGAGATTGGAAATGCAGACCTTGGAGGCCGTTGTGGAAAATTAAACCCCAAAATCTGGATAAGTGTAAATATAACAGAAAGAGGACGACTTTAGGGCCGAAAGAACAGCCCAAGAAAGGATTGATAGTCGGAAGAGAGGGTCTAGGATGACCCTTTTTCGTAAAGACACGAGTAGAGGCAAATATGATCCGAGACTTGCATTTACGCTCACTAATTGCCCAATTAGCTACTAGGTCATCTCCGGTGGTTGTTTGGACTGTAGTGTCCACAGGATTCTCATCTCCGCACATACACGGGAAAGGCACATGTATTCACTATCGTGGCCCGAAGAGCCCCTATCGGATTGAGAGACTGTAGCGTTGTCCCCCTTTCCATTGCCACTGTCCACTGCGTTTAGGGCGTGACATTGTATGAGTGATCCCGCAGTCATCTGTTGGGGGGCCGTATTGAAGGACAATCCCATATAATCTAGACTGTTTCGAATTGAGACTTTTGGGGCCAAAGAATGCACTATATATCCATGTATATACAAAGTACGTCTATTGTGACATGCAATTGGCTAGTTTGATGGTGGCTTATCTGAATGGGAAATGCCAAGTTCCGGGGGCGGAGGCTTGGTTCGTCTTGGCAGGACTATAAAGTTCTTGTGCCCTATGTTACATCGGGAGAATACAGTCTATTGGACTCATGCCTCGGCATCCTTAACATGACCGTGTTGCTTTTCATCCACATGGTTCCTTGAGACTATCACAAGTTTGGGGGCCAATCACCGCTATACTTTCCCAAATAGAGTGAACGGAGAATATTGATTTCTACGAGGATTCAGTCCCCCGTCTCCCGCCTTCTCACGACGTAAATGCAATCTCATAGAAAGGGGGCCAGCGTTAGACCACCTCTTAGTGCTCTTGGCAAAGCTTTAGAGAGTCGGAAAGAAAATTAGCAAAGAGCGATGTAGCTATATCACCCTGTCAGTCCTAATATTCTGCCGATTTGCTCAAATTCAAGAAGCTCCATGTTAAAGTCCCCTGGACAATTGAGCAATGAAATCTATTCTTTTGGTTCTGGCCGTCTATGCGGTGACTTTGGTCTCTGCATACAGCAACTATGGCGCCTATGAGAGAGTCTTTTACTGGTACGCCTACCAGGTCGATGCCGACGTCCACAATGGGATTCCTCAGATCATTGCCCCTTCTTGTAAAGGAGCGAAAGGAAAACGATGTAACTTTGTGGAATTCATCACCTACATTGAGAAGGGAAAAGCGGGTACGAAGCCGACGGGGTTTACCGACGATATGACCATCGATGCGAGAGCTCAGAGGCTTTTCGACCAACAATTTACGGGCACATACGATGGAATGAGAATCATTCCAGGGCAATCGGAGGATAAACAGGCTGTTACAAGGCTGATGAAAGCGGTCAGTTTCTATACAATCTATAGTCATTTCTTTATTGACAGAATTAGATTGGTACAAAATTTCGAAAAGAATCTTTCCTGGAGGAGGCAGAAAAGAAAAGCCAGGTCAACCTCAGTCAAATGAGAACGGCTATCAAGCGCGTGCATTTCCTCCGAGGCGCGGAATATTCAGTGGATTTCAAAAGGGGATTGGAAGACAACGGCATTTCTGTGAGAACGAAGAAAAAGCAGTTCCGGTTCAATATCAACGAGTATGCGGAATTCGTTGATGTCAAAGGGACGCGGGTTGCAAATCCAAAGGTTAGTCAAGCGGAATGGGACCAATTAGTAGCGAAGCTCTATAAAAAAGAACCTGGAGTGGATGTCGACGGAAAGCTACCAATCCATGCCGCACTTTATCTATCTGTCAAAGAGACCATGGAGAATATTATTGTTAGGCCGTGCAAATCTGCCTAAAGTCCTACATCTTGTTGAGCATGTTGGATATGACTTTTTTACCAATGCAAGGAATATGTTTTTAAAGCGAAAACACGTCTTTTTATATACCAAGCATTTCATACTACATGGTTAATAGCCTTTGTTTTCTTAGTTAAGTAAGATGGTTATGCCTAGATCCGTATGTATTAGATTTGCCTTTTCCTCTTGGTAATTAGATCTTCAATTATCACCATGCCACGTGCAAAAGTTCAAGATCAAATTTAGTCAAGCTTTGAAAGGTGGGATAGTTGTCCATGCTAGGCTTGTAATGTAATTGGATTGGATATCAGGTCTTCAAGGCCGATGTTAAGTCTGGCATATAATCTTATCACTCATATCTTACCTGGGCAACCTTAGGGTAGGGAGAGGGAAATTCTCTTCGAAGTACTCCGTAGAGGTTAGTACCGTAAAATAGATTTACAATGTCCGTACTTTTTTGTTTTCGCCAAGTTGGTGAGAGACCTACATTAGGCTCTTTGCGGTTAGTGAAATGTGATGGTGAGACACACCCCGGTCTTTTAGCGGAACTAGCAGCTTGTAAAAAAGAATCTACAAGATACATGGAAGAATGCCGTATAGAAAACCCAGAAGGGCCAAGTACTTTGGCAGGAGATACCAGATGTAACGGTATGTCTTGCTTATATTGGGTTTTATAGATCTGGTGGCATTGGGCATGTGACATGACCCACCTGGAGATGGGTTCTCCTATCTTTACTTCTCTTTTTTCCTCAAGACCTTTGAGATAACTTTCATTTGACTACCTCAAAATGGAAACCTTTAACTACATAAACCTTCGCATTAAAAAGGTGAAAAATGACGACCTTGTGCAAGCTTTGCGGGGTCAGAAGATCCCTCGAGCCCTTGGCGACGAGAGGACAAGAAGATGCGTAATTCGTGGTATACGATATCACCAGGGCTTTGGAACCCAGCTTCGTGGGCTTCTTCCCGAATTCACTCGCTCCCTCAATGCAAGAAGTATCATGAGCAATGAAATACCTGATATGAACCCAGAATGTCCTGAAGCATTTCCCTACTGTATCTGGCATCCCGATACAGCGTCAGAGGCAACCTATCGCGAACTAGCCAAGCGCTATCCTCACATGAAATACTTGGTTGGTCGTGCATGTGCCGTGGCAGGATACACAGATCTTTTTCACGAGTTGGAGCTGCTACCTGAATGTCATATTGCCGAAGAAGCACGCGAGAGCGGTCACATGGCGATCTTTGATGCTATCATGAAAGCTGGTACCAAGTACAATGCCATGGACGATTATACCAGAGAGATATTTACTCCGGTTCCTGGAAATCTTAACGGTGATACGGCCATTCGGTCATATCTCGATATTCGATTCGCATTTGACAAGGGATGGCTCCCGTCAAGCTACCATGGCCTCCACTGGGCGATGGATGATGATTATTGCGACATCTGCGAAGACCGGCGTGTGGATGAGTTTGACACGGACCCTGAGACCACGCCTTTTGCGATCAAAGACGAGAAGATTTTGCCAATGCTCTACATGCCACTTCCAGCCGACCTTCCAACTCTCAACAAAGACCTCCTGATTCTCACCGCGGCGTTCTACGGTGATATCGATCGATATGCTCGCCTTCGACGACCCAACACGGTCCGCTCAGAACTTGGTTGTTTGTTACGAGGGATCTATAACAACACCATGTTTGCCATGTGGTGCTCACTCCAAACGGGCCCCACATTCCAGTACAATGGTATCAAGGCTGCTATCCATGCCCGATTTATCATGAACGGTGATTTGTCGCGCATCACCACAGACACTCCTAATGAAGAGCTGCCGTATCTTCTCTGGTACCCATCCATCCCACGAAAGTCGGTACTCCGAGAGCTATTCCGGCGTCAACCGACAATGAAACCCGCCATTGCAAGAACTTGCATCATCGCCGACTACGAGGACCTCTATGGTCTCCTTGATGTAGATCCGGATACCGAAATAATGGACGATGCTCGCGATAGCCCGAACCCTCACTATATCCAGGATTTGGAAGCTAAGATCCCTGATCGTGGCTACAGACCCTTCCCTCACGGGATCACCTACGAGATACCACGAAAACTGAAAATGTTCGAATATCCACCCTCACACCTGTGGATAAACTTTGCAGACTCGGGCCCAAGTATCGAAGACGACGGTATATCCTACAATGGTAGTATCGTACGTTTTAACTCGCTACAATTGTCAGTATCGGCCCCAGAGTCACTCAAGCAACTCGTCACAGAGACACATTGTGCAATTGAGATTGATGAATATTATGACTCCCTGAGACATGAGATACAGGTCCACGAACGCCTGGGCAACAACGAAGGGATTGCTCCGCTCACCTGCCCGTCTGAATATAGGACTGGGGTGGCCTTCGCGAAAGAAAACAATCTCGAGTCTTACATCGGTACCCACCCGGAGCCAGAAGAGTCCTTCAAGACAGATTGGATTCTCTCTCTCACCAGAACTTTATCACATGCGCACTCCCACAGGGTGTTTATTGTTAATCTCTATCTCAGCAATATCTTGGTTATACAAGATGAACTGAAGCTTACGAACTTTAGCGAGTCTATCTTGTTACCACCAACGGCCCAAATGGATACCGTATGCGAGGACAGTTTGACTGCTAAGATTGAGATCCTTCAACTTGGTTGGATTATCTACTCGATTGCTACTTGGCGCGTTCATACTTATCGTTTCTTCAATCGGCTTAATACAACTTGGCCAACCCTCGAATCGTTTCCTTCTACGGATGATCTTTTCTGTGACCTCATCGTCAGAAAGTGTTGGCGTGAAGAATACGATAGCATGGATGCCTTGAATGAGGAAGCGCATTCTTCATTGAAGATTTGCAAGGAAGGCTAAGCAGAGACGAGAAGAGAGAAATCTATGCTGCATTTACTATGGGAAGAAACGGCGAGGAAATGAAGGACAGGAACCAGAGAAGGCTGTTCCGGGGCATCTAGATGACCAATTTTGAATGCTGTGATTTAGTTAGAGCCAAGAACTGGTTATATTGTGCAAATAAAGTATTTCAATGCTCATTTTCTGTCTACCGTAAGTCTCAATATCGACATAAATTGCCGCCACGCCCTGATATCAGGCCAACCTGGGGGTCAAAGATCTACATACAAGTCCCAATCCACTCAAACTTAAAGGATTAAGCCTCGCGATAGAATGAGATATCAACCCACCACTCCACCTAGAAACATAAGATCATTTGACTAACAATCGGACCTGATAGAAAAGCCAGCCCAACCCAATCCAAAAAATATTCAGGCCCTAAAACCAGGGCACCGCCAACATGACGGCTGAAGAAAATACCAACCAAATCCCACCACCTATAACCGACACCTACAAAGAAGACACAGTCGCACGACCAAACCAAATCGAGCGCGACGATGGCGTCTGCACGTTGCAGGTCGATGACCGGGATTGTACGCTCGAAGTCGACAGACGGGTCGAGGATACCAATAAGGAAGTTGTCATTATTAACCACAACCAAGCATGAGAACGGGAGTCATGATCTTAGTACTCCCGTGAATCGCAAGCGGAGACCTCATCGGAAATGGTTTATGTGGTGGCGGTGTTAGTATTGCGATTCTTTTGGTTATTATTACTGTGCCTGCGGTGGTTGCTACGAAGCATTGGGTTGATGTGCATGTGCGTTTCTGTTTGGATACCTCGATGAGGCTGGGATATTCGTATTGGGCATTGGAGATCAATGCCATGACCCAAGGGACCTGAGGTGATGGAGAAGAAGTTACTTGATACCAACTAGAACTTATATAGATTGTGCGATCATGCTAGAGATGTTGCTTTTGGTTTTTGCCTACCACTACAAGTCTAAGTGCCCGTTCAAATTATTATGGCTGGACATAGAGTAGGCAAGTAAGAAAAAGATCACTTGAACGTCCATGACTAGCTGGCTAAGAGCGACGAGGTACACGCACAAGAACCCGGATCGCCATGCACTGTATTGCTGTAGATACAAACCTTGGAACACAGCGGCCGAATGTGAACAGACAAATCTATCCCATATACCACCGGACAACAGTTCATATCTCCACAACTTCCTAAGGCCCAAGGACCACATCACAAACAGGTACAACACAAATAGTAGTAGAAATGCGACCAAACCATAAAGCTTTCTAGTTTGGCTTGGAGACAGTTGTGCCTCCCGAGACCACAAGTGGTCCATTGCTCACGGCTGGAATTCCATTGTTGTATGTTGGTGCGGGGATCGAGGCCGGAGCGGGTCGGCTTTTTAGGTCAAAGTCAGAGGGGACTTCGGATGGTGGTGGTTTGGGAGGAAGATGAGCCGGCGTGCCCCATTTCGCGATTGAGTCTCGAGGACCGGTGGGCACTCGGTTGGGAATCATGGCCGGGGTTGGGTCCATGGGCCGGTTAGCGACAGGTTCCGGATACCCGTGCCATTGTGATTGCATACTAGGTTGCATGTTGCCATACGGCTGCATTGTGTGTTGACCTTTGTTCGGGTGACGCCCGGGAGGAGCACCGCCCGGGATGAATGAGCGGGTTTGCGGGTTGAAGTGAGACCTAGCATATCCTGCTTGCATTGCTGCGTGGGACCCAGCAGAATTTTGGAGACCGGGATTCATATGTTGCCCGGGGTATTGAGCATAAGGATATGCGCCCATATTGGAGCTGATGTTGGGACTCATGTTGGAGCCCATGTTTGAATTCATGCTGGGCGGCATGTTGGAACCCATGTTGGGTGGCATATTGGGAGCCATTGGCTGCTGAGGATAGTTAGGCCAGTGGACAGGCGGTCCATTCCGCTGGTGCGGGGACTGCTGGAAACTTGCGGGGAAAGGAGGCGAGTTCCAGTTGGGGGTTTGTTGATATGGCGCCACATTGGGCACGGCATAGTTGTTCATTGCCGGCGAGGACGCGTTCGAGGACGGCTGGTTCATCATCCCTTGCTGGTTCATCGAAGCGTACCCGGAATATGGGGACTGCTGCGGCATGTTTCCTTGCCACGAGCCATTGGAGGCCATCTGAGGGGACATTGTCACTGGATACTGGGAGACACCATTCATGTTCATGTTCGGCTGTCCAGGGTAAACGGCGCCATTCTGACCAGATGGCATGTAACCGACAGAGGGTAATGGTACGCCAGGTCCGACCAAGTAAGGGACTTGGTTTGGGTAAGAGCTGTCATTTACAGGAGCATTGTACTGAGCAGCACCATTTCCATATTGCGTCCCAGGGTAGTAAGTGCTAAACTGCGAGCGAACCTCAAAGCTGTCATCATGAGGAGTTCGCTGCCTCTGGCTCTTCTTGCGGCCGTTCGTCGAGCTGGAGCGTGAGATATCAGGATTCGAGTCACCGCTGGCCGGATCCGATTTGGCACTGTCAGGGAAATCACGGAAGATTCGTTCACGAACTTCCTGGTATTTTGCCTCCCGTTCCTCCCTCGTCAAAGCCATTCGATCTTTAGCGGGCGTAGCGCTGGATGAAGATCCGTGGCGTTCTCCGTCTGGTCCACTATCACCATCTTCCGAGTTGGCTTTTGATGGGTTTGACGAGCCTCCAATACTTCCTTCGAATTGCCCTCCATCATTTCGGCGCATAATTTTCATTGCGGGAACAGCTGGGGGCGGAGTGCTATTACAAGCAGCATGCACAGCAGACAAAGGAGTGGGTAGTCGGCAGAATGGTGTTCGATGAAGCCTGACCGATGTCACATTATTGTCGACAAAATGTGTTAAGTGATAGTAATCACCAAGTTTGTGTGCAAGAAGTCGCCCAAACGCGTTTGAGGGGGGGCAACTCCAGGGATTGCTCATTGCAGTCCTTGATAAAGTACCGAATCTTTTCCTCCAGTTGCAGGATCAGGAGGCGATCTTTCGGTGATTTCATTGCCTCTAGGAGTTTTTCATCCGGCTCTAGCGGAAATCCATGTAAGATCTGACCATCTTCAATGCCATCGGGGTTGGCTGGAATCACGAAATTATTCGCGACTGAATCTGGGGGAATCACACCATTCACTGGCCGAGTGCCGTCAAAGAGAGGGGGAACAGGCAAAATTCCGCGTGGGCGTGTAGGAATGCCATCTCGATACTGATCCCGAAACACGCGACTGCTAGCTTCGGAGCCTGCCACTGAATTGGGAGCCCCAGAAGCAAGTCCGGAAAGTGACTCCTCTTCATCAATGGCTTGGACACTAGCACTGTCATCGGGACGTACAGAGTCCTTTTCATCCATTGCGAATGTCGTCACCGAGGCAAGGCTCTTGGAATCAAAGTTGGTCATTTTTGTGGATGAGGTAGAAAGGTGAGTGCGATCATCTTCAAAAGAGTTCTCCCGCTTGAGCAAGCCATTGTCTTGGCCACCAATGAAAGAGCTTGAGCCATCATTGTGCTTCTTCAAGGTGAGGCCGATATCTTGTACGCCTTTCCCTAGATCATCAACAGCTAGATCAATGGAACTAGCCTCTGGCGTTTTATCGAGATTATGCTGGCTGGGCAAAGCTGCACCGGACCCATTTGCTTCGGAGCAGGGCGGTTGTTCTGTTGGCTGGCATATTTCGTTTTCATCGGATACCGAGGAAGGATGTGGGTTGTGGGGTGCGGACATGGCGGCAATCTTCATATGGAATTAGCGACGAGCCACGAGGCAGTATAACGAAATCCTGACTTACTTTTGCAAAGGAGAGAGGGCCGTCTCCACCTGGGGGACTTTTTGATGGCATGACAACACTCCGCGGGATGATTGCTGAAACCGTTTAAATTTCACAAAAAAAAAAAAAAAATCCGAGACCAAGTCAAGCAGCGGTCGCACTCAACACGCTTCGGATTCGCAAATGTGAATAAGGTCGAAGTTTGTTTGATTGAAAGTAAAATCGCTGCGTAATTTCGTTTCACACAAGCCCAAAACGAAAGACATATCTCTGGGGTAGGGCAATCGCCATGGAGAAAACTGTGCGAAATGCGCATTAGCACTAGGCATGGGAGAAAGTAAAGAGATCCGTAGGTCCAACGAAGAGGGATCTCCACTTCAATGAAGCAAAATATTTAGGCAGATCAGGTAACGGTGTCTTACATGATATCAAAGCTGGCTCATCGTCAGGGAGAAGACCTCGTACTGAGTTTTGAGGGGATTCTCCAGATCCGGTAGATATTTGAAGAGCCGATCAACTCTATATCATCCGTCCGAGATGGATGACGTGAATGTTGATAATGAACTCCGAGATCGAGAAGGAGCGTTGGGAATCCGAATTCTGACTTCTTGATTGCCTAAAGATTCGTGGGCATTATGCCGCGCCCGACCGCCCTTGGCGCGCGCCTACAATTTCCCTTGGGCTTCAGAGGTTAACAGCCGCCGAATTGCGCCGATCAGCTTTACGTTGCATTTTACCGTTGTTTCTGATATTGGACGTGTTAATATCCCTATTTCGAACTTCAAGTACCCGCTAGTCGAGCATTCTACTAGAACCTACAACATCACGAGCTCCAATGAACCGATATCGAAACGCCCCGAAGCTCGGAGGCTCCAACTCCAACAAGGCCACCGCGACCACACTGTGTCAAAAATGCCTTGGACGAGATATGTGCACTCTTCTACTTACTCTCTAGACGTTTAACTAACTCCGATCCACGACACTACAGCTTTGATTGCAAGGCATCCGCGCAAGAGCGCCCATACGTCCCGCGACCTTCAAGGACTCAGCAGTTGTTGAACCCAGAATTGATGCCCAAGCTTTCCAACGAGAATCCAAATGAGCTGCTGCGGAAGTAAGTTCGGATCATTGTCATTTCTGCGCATTTTCTTTCTTTTTGGAGAATACTCGCTGACTTGTATGAAGAGAGGGTGTTGCCGATGAACTACTTGCTACCCGGGAGGAAGAGCGTGGCCGGAAGAGAGACCTTGATGATATGACAGATCGCAGCGCTCAGTCTCCGAAGCGGGCCAGGTCCCTCTCAGTGGAAACGATATCCACAAATCGATCCTATTCCTCATCTCCCCGCCGTAACAAACACGGCACAGCCGACAGAGGTCGTCGAGATGATTCATCAGCACCACCTGCAAAGTCCCGAAAGAGACGCTACAGTGATTCTACAGAGGGTTCTTCCGGGTCAGTTCATTCAGGACCAAAGTACCGCTCACCCTCCAGGGAGCGCACCGACGACCGAAACACTCGGCGACGGAGACGAGAATCTAGTCCCGATGAACGAGGTCGGCACCGTGGAGCAGGAAGACATAGCGAGCGAAGAGACCGCCGAAGCAAGAGTGTGGATAAGGGGCGAGTGAAAGAATCACGTGCTACGACTCAGGATGTTCCACGAGACCGTTCATACTGTGATCGAGCAAGCCCACCACGCCAGTCTCAACCTGGACGGTCTAGGCCTGATCCCATAACGCAGAAGAGCCAACCTCCTCGTGAACGAAGCTTGAGTCCTTTTAGTAAGCGTCTTGCTTTGACTCAAGCCATGAATAACGGACGTTAAATTGAAATGAAAACACGCTTTGCAACATTGGGGCTTTTTTACGGCGCAAAATCTTCATGGGGGGCATGGTGCCAATTCATGTTTCATAAGTATATGACCAAGTGTATCATTAGCATCTCCATCTTGGAGTGTGAAAATATCTGTCACTCGACAGCGGAATCCCCCAAAAAATCAATAATGATTTCTGAACAACACTAAGATACATAAGCTCATTGAGAATCCTAAGTTGTAAACCTCCCAACGCCTCATTTTTGTGCGCAATATGCCTATGGCATCAATTGGACGCCTCAACCAAGACAACAAAAAAGGAATAAGTTAAATGGACAGAATATAGACAATTACAAGTGGAAGCAGAAGACCTAGATAACGCTCGCATTCCTGGAACAAAGGGTATCACGTTCAAATCGTTTCTTCATCGCTCTTCTCTTCCTCTCGCTCGCGCATATGGATGCCCTCAACGAGCGTCTCACCCTCCATACCCACTTCCTCTCCCTGGTCATCTCCATTAGACTTGGGCCCACGTGCCTTCGCAGCGCGCGCATCCTCTACCCGCTGTCGCACAAGCCGGGCAATTGCATTGTCTGTCCGTACATCGAGAGTCTTGAGCTTTTCGTTCAAATCGCGCTTCAGATCCCAGTTGGGTTTCCTGGGTTGTAGTTTGAACAGATCAATGGGTTCGTCGGCGCCTGCGTCCTTCTTGGCTTGTTCCGCTGTGGCCTTTGCAATTTCAGCTGCCTGTGCTTCCAGTGTCACCTGGCCCTCTTGCGGGCCTTGTTCGAAGCCTAGTTTAGGCCCGCGGGTCTCGGGGTCGTAGTTGCGACCGGACAGGTATTTTGTGGTCACATCTGGCGTGGCATCGGCGTCGGGCAGCGCCTGGTCTTCTGTACTGGCCTCGTTTGTGTCTGGCTCAGGCTGCTTGCGCTTCAGAGCTGCGAGCTTGGCGAGCCGGGCTTTGCGGTCGATGGATGCCGCATCAAGATTGGCATGGTTTGACGACATGTTTTCGAATGATGGTTGAACTGATGATGGAGAGGATATATGGGCTCGAGGAATAGAAAGCAAAGTGACTGAATTGACCGGAAGAAAATCCCAAGCTCCTCCGCTGCTTGGAAGTTGAAGGACGATAGAGCGATAAAAGTAGATGTGGTGCGCCACACACTAGCCACGGCAAAATCGGGCGGAATGGCGGAATTCAACTTTCTGTCCGGCATTGGAGTTTGACTTCTCTCTCCACGCGCCATACTTCAGTTATTTTCTTGGTCTTGGTCTTTCTCCCACAAATGTCTGCGAATACAAGCTCCTGAATGTCATCGTGTCCACACCAACTCGTTCGGTCCCGTCTCAACGGGTTGCTCTCACAACAATGTCGAAACCCAGGCCGATTGTATCGGGAGTCGGGGACGGCGAATGTCGGTCATAGAGTGCTCCTCTCTACATACAATGCTTCGGCGATTTTAGAACCTGGCGTGATGCATGATGCTCCTGACCCCATATCATATCAACACAACCGCGATTCAACCGACAGTTCACATCCGCCAACAAATGAACAACCAGATCAGGTCGCGACAACTCGGTATGGCATGGGCGATGGCCGATTAAAACCTTCATCCCAACCACGGAGGTCATCACAGACACCGATTATAACGAATGATAAAATGAAGAAGGTTGCTTATGTGCGACATGCTGATCCCAAGCTTGTGACCATGGCGGCTGAGAGAGTCAACCGCGAAATCCTGAACAAGGGTAGACACTTGACCGATAGAGGGTTATATCTGGCTCTTGCGATGCGAATGAATTCACTATACACTCGTGAGCTAGGACTCCGTCAGTGGAAGGAGGCATACGGGGCAATTCACAAGGCCAAGACATATGGCCGTGAGGTCTTGCACAAATCTGCATTGCCCAAACTGAGAGAAGATGGTGAGCAACTGCTAGGGGTGCTTCTTGATGACTGTCAAGGCAAATTTCGAGAAGCATGGCTGGCAATGAACCGTTCTACCAGGGCCTGGGCCTGGCAACGCCTGGCCATTTGGCTGCTGCAAAATAACCCGGCAATGGCCCTGGAGTTTTTACTCGTCACAACCGAGCCACGAGATAAGCCGGACTTGACTATGGTCGTCGATTGTTTGACGTACTTGGAAAGATTTCACTATGAAGAGCTCCGGGATTGGGAGAAGGGTGCCCACACATTCGAATCGGTTGTTGCAACTACCCTGGACCCGAAGGACTGGCCGATTGTCTCGCCACCACAAAAGGGTATACGGTTTTATATTCGCCGAGCAGGCTTTTTGGGTGTCTACGAGAGTTTTCGTTTAATGAACGAGCGAGGCATTACGATGGAGGCACAAACAGCACTTTGCTACATGTACCGATTCACACAGTTGAACGACGTGGAATATGCCCTCAGAGCCCTTGAATTCATTCCCAAAATCAATGACCCTGAATTTTCTATGGACTCTGAAGGAGTCCTACGGCACTGTTGCAAGCTCCTGACCCTGGACACTGTTGAAGACAAAGCTGGGGCACGCAATTTCCGGATCCTCCCACGGCTTCTCAAGATGGGTGTCCAGCCAGACCGGGACATGATGAATCTCGTGCTCGCCAATGCTTACAAAACTGGAGATCCTCAATTGGGGTCGGATATGCTTCAGTTCATGAAGAATCACCACCACGAATTTGATTCTTATACATACTTGACTCTCCTCACTGATGCGGTATCTCGAGGCGACCGGGGTCGTGTGGACGAGTTGGTGCGGGAAGTCGAGATGAAAGAGGAACTACGAAACAACCCATACATTTTCAGCAAAATCTTCCACGCCCATTTCACTTTCACTGCCAAGCATATTGACCCCGAGAGCGATCCCTCGGGAGTTTTCTACTCCATGCTCGACATGTACAACAAAATCCACGACATCACACCGCTCAAAGAACTCCTTTTGCTCCCTCCTCAATATACACAGCCGCCAACCCAAGGACTTGAAGTCAAAATCCCACCTTCTCCGGTATCCTTGTTCCTTATGATCGCAACATTCTTTCGCTGTAGGAATCGGATTTCACAAATGCATCACATGTATGACAGATTCCGCGAGCTCGTGCAGCAGGGCCACCCATCCATCGCCCCTCTGGTCGAAACCGACCACGTCTATAATGAATTCCTCATCGCCTTCCGCAAGAGCAGCCGTGGACTGCGGTCAAGCATACGTCTCGTCGAAGACATGCTTGACACATCTGCCATGCCGAAAGAGACTACTGCTGGCAAGCCTCTCAACCACGTCTCACCCACACCTCGCACCTGGACAATCCTCCTTAGTGCCTTCAATTATAGCCGCCAGCCCGATGCAGCCGAGAAGGTCAAGGAGATGATGGCTAAGCACGACGTGGAGTACAACCAGGTGACTTGGAACACCATCATCAACGGATTCGCGAATGCACAGGACATTCCCGAAACCGCTAATGCAATCACGAAGATGGAAAAGGAAGGCTTCGCCATTGACCATTATACGATGAAGAGTTTGCGTTATCTCCGCGACCCTGAACGCCTCTGGGTGGCGATCGAGGAGATGGATGAGGGCCTCGATTCGCATGGAGCCCATAAGCTTCTCACCCTCGAGCCCGCATCTGATGTGCGCAGTGATCAACAGGAGCGCGACGAGCTCATTGACAGTGGCCTGGAGAAGTTGGAGTCAAAGTTAAAGCCCAAGATGTAGGATAGGATACCCTTTTGTCTTTTATTGTCGCTAAGCAACCTGGAAGCATTTTGGACGCATCGGTGTTGAAGTGGCTTTGAACTTTTTTTTTGTATATTTGGATATCATGTACTATACATTGCATCATCATCAACTTGCTGTTCATCTGAAACTCTCATTGCATCCGGAAACTGTCACACGGAGTGGAAATAGTAATCTCGTAATCCTCACTCCCAAGTTGCTTGAGGTTTGATTGTCACGAAGTCAGAGACTACTACAACCCATTGATACCCCATGAAAACTCTCCCCTTCAAACACCCATTGGGATTCAAGCAAGGTTAACCACCGAGGAAGATCGAGACCTGCATGCAACATCAGTATCTCTCTTACATCTGGACTCACGGAGTAAGGAACTTACTGCCATCACAACACAGCATATGCTAACATACGGGCTAAGTCGCTCTCCGACTCGGGCACATTTCCAGAATATCCCAAAGATTCTGCATCAAACAACCGTCAGTCTCCCCATCTTTCATCCCCGGATCCGCCTTAAGTGAGCACGTACCCATTCTGGTTCCGGTCCATGATTCCTGGCATTATCGAGTGTGCATAGCTGCTCGTGCAGATGATCAAGAGGATCACAAGGAGTAACGACTGAAAGTTGAAAAGAGCAGTCTAGGTGAGTGTGATAGTTAGCATATTGTGATCATATTGTTATTGTAGTTCCCACGCAAACGCCGAGTCTCATGTGCTCCCCACCACATTGACGAGTACTCCCCATCAATCTAACCATTTGCATAAACTCACCATTTTGTGCAGTGAAATCTTCACCCGTCACTTACGCAAAGAAGCAGAGCGACGGTAAGTTGCCAGGTAGTTTGCACGTGCTAAATTACTAACCAACCCCAGTCTAGCATATTCTGCCCGTCATGTCCGCCAAGCGCACAGACCAAACGCCCAAGCGGGTATCGTTTTCCCTGCTGGGCCAGAGCCCAGCTCCGCTACCTTCCACGCCAACTCAACGTGTACCAACTTCATACACTGGGTTTCAAACTCCGGACACGTCAACTGCGAGTCCAATCGTGCGATTCCAGACTCCAAATACCGTCTCGCCAACTCCTAACCGTCGCTTGCAAACTCCGAACACATCCTCTCCGACTTCAACCACTCACCTTCAAACTCCAAACACTGTCACACCAACTACAAACTGTCGCTTGCAAACCCCGAGCAGTTCCTTGTCGACTCCCAAAACTACCTCGCTCAATCCGACTCGAAGTCCGTCGCGCCAGCCTAGCTCCAAGCATCTTGTCTCCACGCTATTACCCAACTGGAATTTCAATGAGCAGGACACAGCATTAATTCGTGTCGGATACGAACCTCAGTGGACTCCCAAGCCACTTGACACATCTAACTCAACCGAAAAGGGCAAGAAAGAGCCCACAACTAAGTCCGCCATGGCTGAACCACGTGCACGTATGGCCCGCCACAAGGGCCAAATGAACTTCCAGAATGAGCGTAAGTTCCCGCAGCCCACGCGCATCCCATTAAACCAATCAAAATACTGACCATCTTTACAGTTCGCCTACTGCTTCTCGCCTACGGTGACCCCAGCCCACACCCAAGCTTCCCAAACGAACCTCTCCCCGAGACAGTCCGTGTGTTGGACGAAATTGTCACCGACTTTGTGCTGGAAGTCAGCCACGGCGCCGCGCAAGTCGCACACCACGCCCGCCGCCAGAAGATCAAAGTCGAGGACTTCCGCTTCGCACTGCGTCGCGACCCGAACAAGCTTGGTCGTGTCCAGGAGCTGCTGCGCATGGAACGTGAATTGAAGGAAGCCCGCAAGGCATTTGACCAGAATGATGATCAGGTTGCCAAGGAAGCTGGAAAGAAGGGCGCTGCCGCTGCCGCGGCTGCTGCTGCTGCTGGTGAGGATCCCGTGGCCGCTGAAGCTGCTGCTACTGCTACTGTCAAGAAGAACAAGGGAAAGGGGAAGAGAGGTGCCCGCCGTGGATCCGATGCTACCGAGGAGTCGGTTTCGAAGAAGCGCAAGACCAATGGCTGAATATGCACCCTTACTCGCCCCACCTACTCTTGCGGGTGGGTCTACGGGTCACGATGAACATGACTTAATGCCCAACCATATGTACTATTACTTTTTACCCATGAAATAACCAGAAATTCAATGGAAATGGATACTCAAATTGCCAGTACGCACTTTATTTACTATAAGAAAGCTATCTCAATACCATCAATCATCTAGTACCTTGGCTCATCCCGACGCTCCATGAATATGCTGTCACCATCAATCACGTCCCAAAGCCTTCACTGCTGCGACTAGAGCAAAAGATTAGAATTCTAAGATGGCACTTGGAACCACACTACAGAACCACATTTGTATGACGTATCATACCACAACATTTCTAGAGTCCACAAGTATCAGACCAACTGTATTGTCCCTGTCAAATTAAAGTAATAAGGTTTGGTCCCGCCTTCCCCACAAACACCTTTCCCAAGACGCTAACTTGGACTATTTGCTTCTTACATACGCTTCGACTACACATGCTTGCAGAACTGAGATACGTGAGATCTCTGTCTAATCTCATCTTTCTTCGGTGATTTACACATGAAAGCTTCAAATCACCAATATCTGAATTGCAACTGAGCATTTATATGATATGAACATGTCTACCTCACAGGTCAACCTCAGCCATCAAAAGGCCGGATCAAACAATGCCCAGGGAAGAAATAGTGCTGGCTATTTGAACTGATGGTTGTCAGAAATGCAACTAACAGATGCATCCTAGCTGCGGCCTGGATTAACAAAAGTCTGACCAACTCTGACCTTACCTCACCTCACCTTCAAATGAATTTCACTATACTCAACTGCTACTTCCAACTTGACAATATCTCCGACCTTGGATGAGTCTCTCTGCCAACAACCCTACAGTGCTTGATTGATTTTAAAACTTGGGCTGCCAAAGAAGAAGACAAGGCAATACCTCCCGACACCAATATCAGAGCAATACTGTCACGATATACGTGATCACATGCTTGCTATGCTTTCTTTATTTCTTTGGTCTTACTTTCCTACTATTCCTATTCGGGAAAGAGTTTGTTTCCTTGCTGGGATAGCTCCTGCTATAAGAACCCATGGGATTCACCACTTCCTTTTTCTTTTCTCCTCCCCATCTCTGTTTTCTTAGGTGGAATGCACTCTTTCTCGGAAACATCCGATGCAGATCCCTTGAAAATCAGACACCTAGCCAACTGACATGGCTTCGGGATCTCTACTTTCTCCCAGATGGTGATGGTGATTGCCCCCAAGGCCATCTTGTCGGCACCCAAGCCAGGTCGTCATCTGAGCTCCCAGGGAGAGAAAAGCACAGGACATTCCTCGCTGGACGAGAGAGGCAACCAAGACACCCATTCCCCTTCTCCGCCATACAAGGAAACACCCAGTCAACCGAGTTCAACTCCCGTCTTTCTACTCCCAAGCAATGGGGTATTGAGCATGAGATGACATGCAGGAGGATTATGAGAAGAGCAAGGATGATGAGAAGCGTAACGACGAAACTGGGGAAGTTGAGTCCAATCGGCATGCTGATATATCGGGCTTGATTCAGAGGCTAGAGCAAGCACGCAATCTCACGACAAATGAATCCATTCATTGTTGGGCACTTTTAATATCTGGTACTCTTTCACTATAGCCCTGTGCTCGTTCTTGATTGTCGTTCGTTGATATGATCAAAATAAACCATTGAAGCCAGAACACAATGTTTTTTGTACAATTGTAGTGATACTTGGTGCTTATATTTGATATCTCAGTATGAATTTAAACTACAAAGGGCTACGGGCAAACAGCCCATCAGAATAATACTAGAACTAGTGCCTCGAAGGAGACAAAAAAAGGAAGAATATTATCTCTCAGGCGTAGTTATAGCCATTCACAGCCTGATCCCTAGGACATGAACAGTGGCAAACATCAAGTGTCAATGTTACTCTTCATACTTTAATTCGTTCAGCTTATGTTTACCTGAGACCTACTGGGCTAGACCTGGGGAGATACTAACTTGTATACGTGTTATCATGTGACTACGTTCCATATTTATTTTCCATTCAAAGCAAATGCCTTTTGCCAGAATGTCAGACCAGGAGAGGCATGACCAGGACATCATCCGGCTGCAAGAAAAGCGAGAAAGGAAACTCCTTCAAGCCATCCGCAAAAACAACATCACCAAGGTCAACGTACTTCTCGCAGATGGTGTTTCACCTGATGGCAGCTCCGAAAGGGCCCCATTGCAGCTGGCCGCTCGCTTAGGCAGACGCGAAATTATGCAGTTACTCATCCAATACAACGCCCAGTCTCCGAGCAATCCCGGCCCGGACTCGGATGACGACGAGTTGCTCACAGCGGCCGGCCGAGGACGAGTGGAGATCCTAAAGATGCTTATGGACTACCGCAAAAAGTTGGGCTACAAGGGCACTGCTTGGCCAAGTCATCGAGGTGACGAGCCCATTCACCGTGCTGCCAGTTGGGGTAACCTGGAATGCCTGAAGCTATTGGTGAAGGAAGGTGCCACGATTAACCTTGAAAATTCACATTGGGAGACACCATTACATCTTGCTGCCAGTCTTCCAACTGGGATGAAGAATGGATTGCCGGTTCTACGGTTTTTGCTCGCATCAGGCGCAAGTATCAATGCTTTGACCACTAAGGGTGACACACCTATTTTGATGGCAGCTCGTGCTGGTAATGAGGCCGCTATTAAGGAATTACTCAAGTCATCGCCCAATCTTCACCAACAAGGTCAATTTGGAGAGACAGTTTTACTTGTTGCTGCTTCATATTGTTCTACGAGAACGGTACAGATGCTCGTTGCGGCAGGCGCTAATATGAACTTCCAGACTAAGTTCAATGCTTCTGTTTTACATCTAGCAACCGAAGCTGGCAAAACCCGGACCTTCAAATGGATCCTCGATAAGAGTAATCTTACCATTAACGATCTCGACTCTCATAACTGGACCCCATTGCATTATGCTGCGTGCAATAACCAGGTGGCGATGGCCAAGTACTTGCTTGAAAACGGAGCGAATCCCTCAATCGCATCAATCCCAGGAGATCATACCCCTCTCCACCTGGCAGCGGCTTATAGCGATAGCCACAACCCCAAACGAGATGACGGACAGGACGATCCCACATTAGTCGAATACCTCATTCACTATGGCGCTGATGTGATGGCGCCGGGAGACAGTACAACTCTGCGCTTCACAGGATGGGTCTCAAAGGCGTCTCGGACAAATAAGTACTCGACATCACAGGAAAATACGAGCCGATCTAACACCATCTACCCCCTCCACTGTGCCGTCAGGAGTGGTGCTATCTAGAGGGTAAAGGCGCTTCTATCAGCCGGCGCAGATGTTCATGCCCGTACTGCCCCAGAGGGAAAGACAGCACTTCATATAGCTGCGCAGAACTCACTCCGGAGCATGGTCCTTTTCTTGATTCAAAGTGGCCTGGATTATAGGCTCACTGATACTGAGGGACATACGATGGTCCACTATCTCTCTCTCGGAGGACTATATGAGCCCGTGAGTGTGAAGAACTTTCTTCTCGCCAAGAACCTTTATGATTCCTCGATGGAAGCAGAGCTTGTTAGACTTGGACCTTCGTATTGATCGCCGTATAATACTGAGATCAATTTTGTTTTTGTAGAATCCAGATTAGGAATGATCCGCGCATGTTATGCAGTATCTTGTACAAACAACAGAGATGCAAACCGAAACACACTGTTGTTACTATCAACATGCGATCATAGAGTTGTCTCGTAAATGTATGTACTGCGGTGGCCATGGCTGGAGTAGTAAATGGGAAATACGAAGAAGCTCTAGAACTTTTATGTCCATTTCATCATAACTGAAAACGCCGCGCCTAGAAAGATGCGACTTCGTAAACCGGAGAGATCGACTCTCAGCAGATCCATCTCTCATCTTCAACAGTCTAGACTCATCACCCCCGAATATTCTCTATCGAACGGTAACGACATCGTCACCCTCGTCAACCACCACACGTTATACCAATTGCATTGATATTAAATCTGTCTCAACACCATAACACCACATGCTGAATACCGTCTTTAGACGTCACAACAAGCCGAGTCCGGAGGCCGTTGACGGGGCGTGACCAGGCCGCAGTCCGTGAACTCCGGAGAGAACGTGTAAGCCTCGCGAGGAAAAAAAAAGAGGAAGCCGGAAAAAGGAAAAGGGAAAAAGGGAAGAAGGTGGTAGAGGGATAGTAAACAAAGAAGCGAAAGACCCAAAAGTAATAACGTCAGGGAGGGGTGAGATAGAAAGGGAAGAGAACGCGAGACGAGATATCGACGTTCACTTGAAGGGGAGTGCTCCTCTCGCAATTGATCACATTATGCATCAGCGTTTTTTTGCTGTGGGAAACCTCTCATGCGCGGGCTTCCTCGGTGCGGTCCTGGCGGGGGCGGCCGCCTTGGTTGTTCTTGCCGCCACGCTGGTTGCGTTGGTTATCGCCGGTGGAGGGGCCCTCGGCGCCGACGCCGCTGCCGAGGGTAAGCTGGGCAGTTGCTAGGCGAGTAGAAAGCTCCATCTGTGTGCGCACGGTGTTGGCAAGGTAAGAAACGACCAGGACGTCCTGGATGTGGTTGTTGCTGTGGAAAGTTAGTGATAAGCAACTTCAGAATAATATAACGCAGATTCAACATACAAGTCACGCTCAATGTCGGCAGGCTCGACCTTGGGAGCGAGAGCGAGAGCGTTAAGCAAGAACTGGCCCATAGCAGTGGAAGCAGGGGTCTCCTCGTCGATGACGGACTCGACGTAGCGCGAGACGCGGTCAACCATGGACAGAACCTCCTCGATGGCGCGCTCCAGAGACTCAATGTCGGAAGTGACGGAAGTGGAACGCTCCTCGGCATCCTTGGCGTTGGCAATAGACTCAAGACCGCTCTTGTCGGCCTCGCCGTATCGGAGCTCGTAAGGAACGGGGATGAAAGCAGCGCTGTCGGCAGCACGCTCAGCGGTGACACCAACGGGGGCAGAAATGTAGGCACGGGTCTCGAGATCCTTTCCAGCCTCGGTGGAGACAGTCAGGTGGACGGCGGGGTGAGGCCAGGTACCATCACCCTGGCCGCTGTAGAAGTTTTGGATCAAGGCGGAGAAAGTGTTGAGCTCGGAAGCAGTGGCGTACCAGCCAACCAAGACTTCGCGGGGGTTGGCCTTCAGGTGCAAAGCCAGCATCTGCTTGTGGTATTCCATATCGACTTCGACCTGGTCCTCAGCCTCGGAGTGGCCGACGGCGAAGGCGGATCGGACCTCGACCTCACTTCCATCCTCAGATCGTGTTCCGAGCAGTGTACCGATGACACGCTCCTGGTCGACATTACGGCGAAGAGAGTGATCGAGAATTGAGAAGATTGCCTGGGGGAGGAATGAGCTTTACCCCTCAGATCATACACATCGCAACATACCTGGGGTTGAATGACCACGTTCAGAGGGGCAGTGGTAGGAGCGGTCCCCACGCTAACGGGGCCGAGGGGGCGAGCGAGATGAAGGAAAGAATCTTCGGCCATGATTAATTTTGAGATGGATGGAATATCTTGCAAGTTTCAAGATCCAAACTTCAGCCTTTCTCGGAGGTTCAATTTTTCCTTGAAGTGGAGTGAGCCGCTCTGATTGTTCCGATTCTGTTGTGTGTGGGAAATTTCGCGCTAAGATAAGATAAGGAAATTCTCATTTTGGCCGGGAACTGTACTGCAACCTACCTCTGTTTTTAGTTATTCAACACAATATGCCTGCTCCTCGTGGTGGTTCTTTTAGAGGAGCTCGAGGCCGTGGTGGCCGCGGTGGCCGCGGTGGTCGTGGTCGCGGTCGTGGTGGTCGTGGTGGCCGTGGTGGTCGCTCCTTTGCCACGTCGCGACTGAATGAGTCCGAGTAAGTTCTTAGTCTGAAAGGTCTTGGACTATATCTAATTGATATTAGATCGGATAATTCTTCGGGCGAAGAAGATGACGCTAGCGTGGAATCTGAAGAGGAATTGGTTGATGATACCCAAATGGACGAAGGCTCCAGCAGCGACGAAGAAGAGAATACCGAACGCCCCTACAACGAACTCCTTCAGCTACTTCACACCAATGAGTCAAACGGACCAGCTCGGAAGAAGCGCAAGATCGCTACCGACTCGGATGCCGAGGTTCAAATGGCAGAACCCGCGGAGGAACCAGAGCAGGTCGACGATGACTTGGAAGCCCAAGCGCCATCCGACGATGAAGAGGAAGAAGCAGACGAGGATGAGGACCCAACTGCTGCTTTTGAAAAGCACTTTGATCTCCGCGAGAGTGCGGATTTGACCAAGCAGATTGAGCCTATCCAATCGAACAAATGGGCATCCGTCAAGAAAGAGGTAGATGGGCTACGGCTGGTACATACCGTTCCCGATACGGGAGCAAATAGCGCATCGATCCTTCCGCCATTGAAGAGCACAACTAATATCAAGGTATGTGGGACAGACATGGATTTTGTGTTGACTCTAATATTAACATGCAATCGCGCAGCTTAAACAAAAATTGAAGGCTCGTGCGGCCGAGATACTGCCTAAGATCACGGGTCAAGCCCAGATCATCGCGCCCTATGTGTTCGACTACCAAGACATTCTATACGGTGCCCGCACTGCTTCCAATGTAAATGAGATTCGCGATATTCTCGCTTTGCACACTGTCAACCACCTCCTGAAGACCCGAGATCAAGTCCTCAAAAACAACGCCCGTCTGGCCAAGGACCCGGACACCGACATCGAGTGCCGTGACCAGGGATTCACCCGACCCAAGGTGCTTTACATCCTGCCCACCCGCCAGGCATGTGTTAAGGTTCTCGATGCGATCACTCGGATCTATCAACCCGAACAGCAAGAAAACAAAAAACGCTTCACCGATTCGTTCTCGGCGCCAAATGATGAACAGTGGGAGCACAAGACAGAAGACTTCAAGGAGCTCTTCGGTGGCAATGATGACGATATGTTCCGACTGGGTCTCAAGTTCACCCGCAAAACAGTCAAATATTTCGCGCAATTTTATAGCTCTGATATCATCCTAGCCAGTCCATTGGGTCTGCGTACGATCATGGACCAAGCAGACGTCAAGAAGCGCGACTATGATTTCCTCTCATCGATTGAGCTGGTTGTCGTCGACCACGCCGACGCGCTCCTCATGCAAAACTGGGACCACGTCGACTACATCTTCCAGCACCTGAACTTGCAACCGAAGCAAGCACACGGCTGCGACTTCGGCCGCGTCCGCAACTGGTATTTGGATAACCACGCGCGCCACGTCCGACAAACCGTAGTGGTCTCCTCCTGCATCACCCCCGAGATCAACGCTCTCTTCTCATCCCAGATGCAAAATGCCTCGGGCCGCCTCAAGGCAACCCCCACCTACGCCGGCGCCATCACCGAGCTCCCACTCCCAGTCCCCGTCAAGCAAACCTTCACCCGCATCGACAGCACGTCGCCCATTAAAGACCCCGATGCGCGCTTCAAGCACTTCACAACAACCATCCTGTCCACCCTGGTGAAGAACATCACGCACGGCCGCGGCAAGGGCGGTTCCGGCACCCTCATCTTCATTCCCTCTTACCTCGACTTTGTCCGCGTGCGAAACCACTTCGCCACCTCTACGCAGACAACCAACGTCGCTTTTGGTGCTATCTCCGAGTACACCGAGCCGAAGGAGGCTAACCGTGCCCGCAGTCATTTCTTGTCCGGCCGCCACTCTGTGCTGCTGTATACCGAGCGTGCGCACCACTTCCGCCGTTACCAGGTCCGAGGTGTCAAGCGTGTGGTCATGTACGGGCTTCCAGATAACGCGCTGTTCTATAGCGAGATTGTTGGATTCTTGGGTCTTGATCCTGCAGAGTTGATTGAGGCTGCTGAGGGTGGTGTGCGTGCGCTTTTCTCGAAGTGGGATGCGCTAAAGTTGGAGCGTATTGTTGGTACATCTAGGATTGGCAACATGCTGCGGGAGAAGGGGGGTGATACATTTACTTTTGTATGAGTATAGCTGTATGCTTTTCTAGGTAGATATTATAGTCTTATGGATTATTCCCTCATGTCGCTTTATTGTGCTGTTATTACCTATTCTATATGGAAAAGTCGGTTTGTACATTTTACCCTTTTTTCACGGCCTATATTCTATGTTTTGCGGCTGTTTACTATTTCCATCCTCCATCCTTCTAGTTATGATACTGACATGGGGGAAAATGCATCCAAAAAAGAGATCTGAAAAGGCCTTAAAAAAGACATAAGGACTATGATTATTTGTATCAAATGTCAATGAAGCCTTAAATTACTATATCCCAACTCGCTACCTCTAGTATAGATTTCAAAATGAGAGATATCTGAACATGGGATGAGAGAGATGTGAGTTAAACTAAACCTATTGTTTACGTAGAGTTGTCAATACAGTTCTCTCTGTGGTACTTTCAGAAATATCTCACCATTGAAACAAAAAGAAGCCCGTATTGGTTTATCATATCGAGATCTTCTCACTCGACTTCTCGCTTTCTTTCCCTCGACCCATTCACCTGAAACTCAACATACCGTTTGCTTCCCCTTCCTCTTTATTTTGAGACCTTACATATCAATCACTTCCATTCACCCAGTCATCGTGCCAGACACCATATTGGCCGTGAAAAGATCACAGGGAGGGTGTGGCTTAACCATGAGATATACCGGGTCAAAGATGCCGGGCTCCTCCAAGTAGAGTGTTCAGCCCAAAGTGAGCACTGCATGATGAATGACTTCATCTTGCATATTCATTCTTTATTAACATAATTGGGAATAAAACCATTTCTAACATCTAATATCAGGTGGAAGGAATCATCATTGCTAGACATGATACGCAAGTGCACCTTTACTTCCGGGAACGAACTCGGAGGATTCAGCGGCATCGCCATGGATGGATTCTGGTTCCGATGCCCAGTCGGTGTTCCGAATATCAAAGGGTCTGTCACTTTTGATTTGGATCACAAGTCGGGGTGTGTTCATATCAATGTGACTAGGAGGGATGGAGAGTGTGTTGATTTGTACCATTTAGTTGTTGTTATCGTCCTTTGGTAGGATGAGATTGCATCATCTGTTTGAAGAAAAGCGGTGATGGAGATCATCACATCAGAGAAGGCATGCATAATTCAGCTGTCGCTAACCTGATTAACAATATAAATCTGACAACCATGTAGTCTACTATGTTGTATGATGTGGATAGCCCGGGCCCCGCATTAGAGGTATTATTACATAATCCAGCATCACTTTGATTTCTTTCCAAAGAGATAGGCGGTATAATTCTGCCCAAATAGAGGTTATAATGAACTGAACGAAGATACCTTTCTTCGGGGCATATAGTCAACTGAAAATATACGGAGAGGATTAACATGGCCCCTGCACTAAGGATGACATGCTCAATCAAAGAGAAGCTCCATATTTTTTTTTTCTTCGACGTTCAATATTGACCAGTCAAAGTGCGCTGAAAAGTGGATTCGCAATACCGAAAACGGCATTATGGATTATAGGTTCGAGCCGATCTGGCGATGATTTTATCTAATTTTCTCTCTGATTGATTCGACCCTGTGAGGTTGTATCCCATCCATAGATGGACATTGAGCTTTGAATCCCCGATGTCACCTCCAGATATACTACCAAGCCCAAGTGGTATTGAGCACTACACTGTATATAGGTGTATGCATTCGATGATGACTCGACCTGTGGCACAAAGAAGCAACGCTACGTTTCTTGACGCAAAGCTCTGAGTTGGCATACTGTGGAATCAGGGAGCAATCTGTACCATGAAGCTCATATTGTTTCGTCTAGGCTGCTCACTTGAAGACGGCCCACCATTGTGATTACAAACCTGGCAAGCTACTCCCATCAGAAGCCTTCACCGAGGATTTGTTCACATCTTTCAACTTGACGATCTAAAGTTTGACTACATTGAAGTTGCTGATCATGGCAAGGCTTCATTAAACGGTTTGCATCCTCAAAGCTTGTCCGTTGGTTCTGAGCAGCGTGGAATAAGTCCATTCTATCAGATGCTATGAAGCTTGCACCGGATTTGCCATGATACTCTACCCAAAACATTACAAGGCCGTGTAAGCCGACTATTGTTATCAGTTGTAGAGCTGCATCTATATATGCTATCATGTGATCTCGGATCTAGACGTCAGCTCTGACTTTCTACTCCATGGATAGTCTATCTCGCTAGATCTAGCACGATAAATGACTTTATTACCAGTCTACACACTGATTATGAGGTTCATCTCCAAAGCTCGACTTGAAACGGCGATCAGTAAGCGATATTTCTTCAGCCATAGAGGGCTAGGTCGAGATTTAGATTAATGAGAAGCGAAGACAGGTAGAGGAATCGGATAAATATCCGTGGTAGGTGCGTGCATGTTTATATGTAACTAGCAGTTAGTACATGTAGGCAGTAGGTCGTGTGCCACACACAACCCGGGGGCACATAGTATACCAGGTACTAGGCAACTGAATTTGCAAACTATTCCGAGTCGAGTCGACTCAAAGACTACAGTCCATCAAATGAACAAAAAAGCAAAAATAGAAAAACAAAACGAAAGGCCGCGGTTAGCGGTCAACGGGGAGGGGCTCCACTCACCCGTGAGCTGAAATCTCTTTTGTCCAGATCGGCAACACAGTGCAGATATAAGATCCTTCCCTTCCACCTGAATATACGGTTCAATCTGCATCTATTCTCCTCGGGAGAACGCTGTACATCCAGACTTTATAAGAAAAGGCATTCCGATTCCAAAGAGAAGAAGAACAAAAGCCCTCTAGATACCTCCATCTCCAATCCCCCACAAAATCCCCGCAGGGACCGCCCTCTCCAATAACGACCCCAGGAACACACATCCCAGTATGGTCACTGCACACGATTCGGCCCCAGGCGGCCAATACCAAGATCATCCAGACGCACCCCTGCCGATCCGGGTGGAGCACTCATCGATCTCATCGGAGCAGGGATCGTCTTCAACGAAAACGATAACGCAAGCCCAGTATGAACATGATTATTGCGACAGCAGTGAAGCCGAGACCGAACCGGCATTGGCTCAATCAGAACCCCGTCCGATCGAGGACGACGACGAGGCTGTCGCGATGATTTCGCGACCCCGCCATAAATGGCAGATTTGGTGGTTGCGCAATAAGGGTATGGGGTTGGTCTTGTTGGCGCAGGCTTTCGCTGCCTCGATGAATGTCATGACACAGGTCTTGGAAATTCATAGTTCTATGCATCCTTTCCAGGTAAGAGACAGAAGGATATGTTACTATATCGCCCCCCCCCCCCCCCCCCACCATTACACAAAACTAACACAACTCCAGATCCTCTTCGCCCGCATGTCTATAACAGCAATCGCAAGTTACCTATACATGTACTTCGCCTCAACTCCCTTCCCACTAGGCGCCCGTCCAGTTCGCGGTCTCCTTCTCCTCCGCGCCATCTTCGGCTTCACAGGCGTCTACTGCCTCTACTACTCCGTCCAATACCTCCCCCTCTCCGAAGCAACAGTAATCACCTTTCTCTCTCCAATCATCTCCTGCTACGCCTGCTCCCTCCTCATGCCCGGCGAGTCGTTTTCCCGGAAACAGCTGCTCGCAGGATTAATCTCTCTCGGCGGTGTCGTGCTCATCGCCCGTCCCTTCAGTGCACGCGCTTCACACACTGCCATGGCAACCCCAACGGCCACTGCCGCCTGGGCATTAGGTCTGTCTGCATCAGATGTCGAAAAGCCACCCTCCGAAACAGATTCCTACCACCATGTCATGGCAACTGTCGTTGCCTTTATCGGCGTGCTCGGTGCTTCCGGTGCGTACGCTTCCATCCGTATGATCGGCCGTCGTGCGCACCCGCTGGTGTCGGTGACGTACTTCTCATCGGTAACGACGGTTATTTCTCTCGTTGCAATGCTCGTCGTGCCTTCGGTGCCCTTCCGGATTCCTAATACGGCTGTGGAGTGGACGCTACTAGCGGGATTGGGTATTTGTGGGTTCTTGTTGCAGTTTTTGTTGACGGCGGGGTTGTCGTATGTCCCGCCTGCGTCTGTCTCAGATGGGAAGCCTGTGGCGCAGGGTGCGCGTGCGACCTCGATGGTTTATATGCAGATGCTCTTTGCGGTGTTTTATGATAAGGTTGTTTGGGGGAGTACACTTAGTCCGATTAGTTGGGTGGGATCTGGGATTATTCTGGTTTGTGCGGTTTATGTTGCTTTTGCACATGAGAAGCCTGCTGTACATGGAAATGGAGAGTATCACGATGTTAGGTATAAGGATGATGAGGAGAGGGCCGAGTCCGAAGGGAATTGAGTTTTCGTATATATTAACTATATAACTTGGGTATATAAGCCCATGTGCTTTGACCTAGAATTTGCCACTGGAGCACTCTGCTCCGGCATTGCATTGGCATTGCATTGTCCTATAATATCAAATATCAAATCCAGCCTCGACGTCATTGGGTTACAATCTCCGTGCGCATTTGGCTATTTGACTTGTACCTTGTGCCTAGCGCGATGGATTCTCCATAAAAGCCCACTCGCCCCATAATTTCCTGTTTTTGCCTCGATATATCTAAAATGCGTCACTTCGATACCTGGGTCCTTCGTGACCCCTACTCTATCTGGCACTACTATCCAACCGGTCATCGCTGGCGCGATACCGTCCGCGATTTAATCCAATCGCGCGCCATTTGCTCCCCAGAGAATAATCTCAACCCTCCTATAGACTGGAGTCCACCTCAATCTCAACAATCTCCCCTCCTCCGCCTCCCCGCCGAAATTCGCCAAATAATCTGGTCCTACGTCTTCACCAATTCTCCTATCCCAAATACCCAAACCATTCACTTAGTTCAATTAAAAGGCAAAATTCGACATGTTCGCTGTCCAACTCTTCAAAATTCCCAGAACCCACCAAATCACCCAAACCCTTCCTTAACCCAAAATCGCCACTGTTGCCCCACAACCCCAGCCCGCTGGCGCATCTACGACGGCCGTGTCCCAGGACACAGCGACAGACTCCTCTACCCACATACCCACTCCCATCTCCCTTTAACACTAAGTAATAGCAATACCGCCTTGCTACGTGTCTGTCGCACCATCTATTTCGAGGCAGAGACGATACTCTACCGAGCCTCGCAATTCGATGTCGACGATTTATACACTTTTATTGCATTTGTGACGTCGTTGTCGCCTACTGCGCGTGCGGCGATTTCGAGACTCACAGTGCAATGGATGCCGATCTGGGTGCCGATGGCCGGGTTGGATCATAAGGGGTCTATCTACGCGCATACGCATAGTGATGAGCTGTGGGTTAGGTTTTGGGAGGTGGTGGCCTCGTTAGAAGGGTTGAGGGTGTTGGGGTTGAGTTTGGATTTGGGGAGGTTTACCAGTATTGTGGGGAGTACGGGGGAGGCGGTGGTTTCCGGTCAGAGAATTCCCTTTGGGATTCAGGAAGGGTGGGTGAAGCCCATTCTGAGGGTTCGGGGGGTGAAGGAGTTTGATTTGGCCGTTACGGCGAGATGTGATTTGCTTGCTAAAGGGGTGGTTGAGGGGGAGTTGGTGAGGGATGTTGGGCTTTTGAGGGAGCAATTGAGAGGGTTGTTGTCTGGGCCGAGGGAGAGGGTCAAGGGGATGGAGAGGAAGAGGAAGATTATACTGGCTATTACTGCTGCTTGATATACCCGCTTTATGTACTTGATACAATATCATCTGCACATTCCAGAGGGTCGCCAAGATCATCACTGGGCAGCGAAAGTTTTATTGGCCTGGTTGAACATGGGCTTCTTCTGGAGCATGCTCCAAATAGCAACCCAAGTGACTATATCACTTCGGATTACATATTTCTTGGAAAATGTGTGTATTCAGCGTCTTTTCTTGTTTACTCAATTTACATACCCTAGCACAAGTCTGCCGACACCTGGATTTCTAGTAGATCTGTCATAACTTCATACCCCATTAATATGAAAGCTTTGAAGTTACGCGAGATCAACTCTCTATATAATTAAGTATATAATTCATCAGCCGTGGGAAAGAAGATAGTGTCCAGTATGCCCCGAAGCTGCTCTGCTGGCAATCATCTCGTGCTACTTCTCTTATCGTCAACAACTCCATTCGATGTCACCTCAAGCAGCTGACTACTAGCCGCTGATTCTCGATGACCCAGAGGGGCCGTGGATAATGCCCTGGCAGGATGATCTGGGTTGTAGCCGGTGGTCAATTTCGAATTCGCAATGTGGCCCGGAAGCGGGTCCAGGCCACTGTAGTCTTCTAGCCGAGCTCCGTGGATATCGTGGCGCCCTGGGTGACCCTGAATATTGTCGAAAATTTACTGCTGTAGGATCCATCGTTGGAGAAATAGAGCAAGATGCCGGCAGCAACACACAATGTCGTGACGCCAAATGCAGTACCACAAGCAGCCCGGAGAATCGATCGAGTGTAAACGTAGATATTGTGGTAAGAGGTGATAGGCACGTTTTTTTCTGGCACTGCGTTCACGGTGTTGCCTATAATAAATGGGTTAGTGTGAAGCGTGTAAAGATTTGGGAATACTCACTGGAACATTTTGGAGCTCATGAGCGAAAAGGTGATGTTCTGGAAAAGTTCCTCCAGGGGCTTTGGATAATACCGAAGATTCATTTGACACGCTGACAGATCTCCCGTACCAGTAATCCTCAAATGGACCTTTCGATCTCGTGCCTATGGTAGATTGAACAGATCCATCTCTTCTGTATCCAGCAATGATGCTGTTAGGAGGTGTTCAGGTTGCCTGTTCCTGAAATAGTCCGGTTCTTATCGCCTTTGGCGTTTGTAATGACATACAACCGAGTACCGATCGATCCAAACAAAAGACCCCCAAAAGACTCCATTATAGACTGATAAGACGCAGACTCTATGAGTTGAAGGTTGTGTAAAAAGGAAGTATTGGAAGAAAGTTTCCCCTCTTCGATGTCCATATTGGTAACACCGCCGAAGTGGCCAACGCCATTAAGGACTGTGATGTCTCCATGGACTGTCTGGTCTCCGTTGACGTCGCTGAGATTGACCTGATATGTGGCATTGTGGAGCACACACTGTAGAATCGTGGCATTCCATACAACTCTGTCCAAGTTTTCCACAGCTTGGTGAAATTCGGTATATTCTAAAGCATGCGGAAATGTGGCAACAAATAGAGATAGAGGTGGCCTGTCAGCGCCAGGCTTTTTCGAACTCCAGAGTCGCGATACGTCGCTTGGATCTTGAACTGGGGGACCGAGCCTAAGCAACCGTTCAGTGTACGTGTCACTCCCATTCTCGTGTTGAAAAGGTGCAGAACCAACCAGAGTATCTGACTCAGGTGCCAAAGAAAGATAATTATACAAGAATAGTTTCCATGTATCATTTCCAGTGATCTTCAAGGTATTGATAGCCTGGGCAACATTTTGAGTGAAATAATCGGCAAGGGTTTGGGTTCACTTTGTCACAGACGATCGTAGGACCGTAAAATTCCACTGACCACGACGAGTTGGCAGCTGGAGGCTCTATTTACAAAGTAGATCGTCGATAATACCAATTCTAGTTCTCTGGTCGTGGATGGACTTCCAAACGAATTGATCAAAGACCGTTGAGACGGATGCTCCAAGAGAACTCTTGACGAAGGCAAAAAACGTACCGAGCGAAAGGTAAATCTGCTGGTCGGATATATTCAACGAGGACCTCAACCCAGCGAGTGGTTGGGTCTTGAGCACAGGCTTTCCGTTCAGGCTTTGATAGAAGACATCATGGGCGAGAGCAAAAGCGAGAGCAGCTAGAAGCGCTGCCACCATCACAGTGACAGCGGAATATTTCAAGTTAAACAGAAATACCGCCATGTGGAAGAACGGTTGGAAAGATCAAAAGAGAAGAAAAAGGAGCAAAGACAGGGACTAATTCAGAAAGTAAATTCAAATATTATTCCATGCTTTCTCGGACGGGGAATCATATTCGACCTCATCTGCAGCCAAGGATCCTTTTACGAACTCCGATATGGTTTTAACAAATCAATTCGCCGATCAACGCCATATGAAGTGCTGCCTTACCGGATTGAGCGTCTGGCCACCATTGAAGTAATTTTAGCAACAAGTCAGCGGTATGGCCCGAACTATGCCCATTTTAACCAATGCGGCTAGAGTAGCAAACGATACGCCAGAGCCTCATTCGACCCAGCTGATCCCACTAGGTCCGACGAGCGGAGATGTGGGTGCTCTAGGTCTAGAGTCATTCGGCCCCCTGCAAAGTGCCTGCACAACTTGGGGGTAATCTAGCTGGGATCCCCAGACATCAAGATGAGAATATTAGCAAATGGATCCTCAGAGTATATGAAGAGTTTCGCAACCCTTCCGATGTCTCCAAGTTCGATGTACTCTGTACCTCTCCGGGAACTCTGTGTCTCGAAGAAAAATTAGCGGAATCTGGAATCTTATTTAGAGATGTGTTGGAGATTTCTTAGTCGAAAAATATATCCAACTCCGCGAATCCTACCCCAGATTCAGGAGTCTCACAAGCGGATAGTTATAGTGCCTCGGTTTGGCTTACTAATCAGACCCTAAACCCGGGGCCCCTCATCCTTTCTCTATCAAACCACCTATTCTATCTCCCACAGATCATGGATATCTCAATCTCAACCTCAGCCTACCTGCTGCTGGCTTCACTGCCATTACTCGTGTTCTCAGAATGGAAAGCCAGATCACACATGGGTACCGGAGTATTCAAAATGCTCTCATCAGTCGCTTTCCTGAGCAGCCCATTACTCCTCCCATCCACAGAATGGTCAGACTATCGCCGTCTCGTCACCATCGGTCTAAGCTTTTCCATGCTGGGCGACTTCTTTCTTATTCCCTCGCACCGTGAATTCTACGGCAAACCCCCATCCGACAAATCAGAACCGCAAGGAAAAGTATCAATCTCTTTTCAACTCGGTATCGTCGCCTTCGCCGCGGCTCATATAGCCTACACTGTAGCCTTTTTGCAGGATTCCTCCCAGACCTCCTGGACGGCCTTTGCCGCTACCTTTGTAGCCACTCTGGCCGCTGCAAAATGGTTGGGTGTCATCTATCCCCCGCCGCAGTCCTCACTCCAGACCAATGTACTGGATCTCAATATTGCGCCGGATATGAAACCAGTGGTTTCTGCATATGCGGTTATCATTGGTGTGATGTTTGCTGCCGCTACTGCTACCGCTCCGTTGGTCGTTCCAACGGACTGGTGGCACTCGCGAGCCCTGGGTGCTGCTATGTTTGTTGTGAGCGACCTGTTTGTTGCGAAGAATGCATTTGGAAGAGCTTCTACGCCGAGGAGCCGGGGTTGCGTCTCGATCTTTGTGGGTTATGCGCTGTATTTCTGGGCACAAATGGTCATCGCTGGAACAGTGCGAGCATAATGCCGACCATGAACTGGCATTGTGCTGGGATGATCCACTGGAGCATCCGAGTCATGCTGAGGGGATAATTACCATGGCCCCGAGTTCAAGTCCAACACTGGACCTGACCCTTCTCTCCTATGTTTATAGCGAGACAGGGACATTCTTACATAAGAGATTTTCTACTTGCACATAGTCCGACTATATCCATTTGCATGAAGGATTGATGTTGATATAATCTTACAAACTATGTATATATCCAACAATACATCATTGCCAAACCTGGTAGTGATCGACTCTACAAAACCTAGGCTATAGGGTTGCGATGAAGGCATGGAACCACTATAATGCTCATATAACTTCTAGTATGCTTTGGGTACAATGGCAGTGAACCTACCGCGTGCCCCCTATTTGATGCCAGCTATAATGTAGAACATCTACAAGAAACAGGGACATGATTTATGATAAATGTAATGAAGATATTGAACTATGAACTGTGTAATAGAAACGGATCCACAGACATCACATCCACAAAGCCCCACTACACCCATGCGTTTTCTTCCATACCGAACATTCTGCACAGTGTTCGTGCTCCTCCGTTGCAGGGGTCTGTCCCACACAACCCTTGCCTGTTTGCTTGCTGTTCCCATAAGCAGGGTGAGACATGAGGGGTAGTCTTGCGTAAGTCTCCCAAAGTCAGCATGATGAGGGTCTGATACCGTACAGACACATCATGGTTGCAACTTCTGCAGATGTTGAACTGGGCAATTCGTTCTTTTGGCTATTCTTCAAAGCCTTGGTAGAGGGCAAGTCACGCATGCGCTTGATCTTGGAAATTGTTATCAGGTAGGAGGTACCATCATTGTTTATAGATATAGACTCATCGAAAAGGTGCAAGGCACCGTGGAATGCTATATATGGTATAATGATAATTATAGCTTGTAGGTGACAGCATCAAAGGGAGAGGAGAGGGTAGGTTGGAAGACACACGAGAAGGGAATTGACCTTTATATGTGCTGGGCCGGACGAAGGCCTGATATGTAAGGCAAAGCAAACAAGCCGTCGATGCTCAACCATTCATAGGACACTGGTTATGCAAGTGATTAAAGGCTCTCGGGGAATATCCATGTGCCTAAAGAGCATATAAAGAGGAAGCGAGAAACAAAATAACTTCAATGGTCTTCGAGTGGCAGAATGTATCATATAGAAAGCTGCTCCCGCGCTTACTAGAAGCGAGATACTTTTTCCCTCTTAGTTTAGTCCTTGTCGAACTTTATGTCAGACTCTTAAATCCCTACGTACACTAGAGGATAGTGAATGTGTTAAGGCCCATACCGATCTTAAGACAGCAGCCCGTCATTTGTCATCTGTGGGAATGGAAAGTGGGGAGGAATATGGGAGGGTAGTCGAAAGATGTGTATTCTGGTATCAAGGAATCTACGCTGGACAATAAGCAAATGCAGGATGGGGTGTTCTAGTTAGATAGTATGCATTCTACAGTACAGTATGTCCTAATTACAATTTTTGAATTGAATTCTGAATAATTTGATCATACTACCTACGCAAGCAGCCAATTCATCAATTGAAACCTACAAATACAAAGCGAGTACGTGTATGCATAGTCTTCCTCTTTCAGTCAGGTCTTCTTATTCGGCCACTCTACTAAGCGCTTCGTAACCTAAGCAGTCCTCTTGCTCTGCCACTGCTTTTTCAGTGGTCATAGATCCGCGACCGACTATCCGTTTCACAAAGTTATGGACTGGATGGAGTCATGCGAGCCCGAGAGCTCGCATGGCGGATCTGTCCCATTTGGCGATAAGGCGGAAAATCACCGCGCATTTCTGCTTAACGTCAGCTTTATTGCTAGACATCCCATCGACAAAAGCCAAGTAGATACTACCTTACCCGCCATAGTGTACGTATCTTCGACTTTGCCAAAGAAGCACTCTTGCTAACTTAGCAGGTCCCTCTTGGCTGGGCCCGGTTACATGAGATTCCGCCGAATTTGGCAAGGCGTCCCATAGTTCTTGTCATATGTGTCTATACCCTTCTTATCGGCCTTTTTTTTCGAGTGTTTCTTGACATTAGCGGAAGACTCTCCAAAGACATTGGCAAGCTATCCTCACGTATCGTTCTAGCTGAAAGTACTTGATCAAATGTAAGCAGAGTTTATTAATTTATGGAAAAAACAATCTTTAAAAAAAAAAGAATACAAATCAGATCAATACAGGCAATTTGTAACCGTGGCGGTCTGTTGACAGAAAATAAAATCAAGTACTTTTAGTAGCCCTTCAACCAGTTCAATCCATCTCTTCAACTCCGACACACGAGAATGGAAGCTGATACATGTATAACTATAGGTACAACCAAATATTCACCGTGCCATTCATACTGACGTGATTAAATCAAAATTGACACTGCATTATACCTCGTTTCCAGCACATTGTAGGGAATATCCTCAATGTCATCCTTCTCTTTTGCGTACCTCTCGAATTCATCATCGCTAGCTTGGAGCGCCTGGTAGAATCTGTGCAAAGCATCTTTGGTTTTCTTGTCCACATCAGAAGGACGGCACTTGTTGGAGTAAATGGACCACGCCGTGTGAATGCACCCCATAAGCGTTTCGGTTTTCTCGTTTGGTTTGAAGCTGAGCAGATACGGAACATGTGAAGAAAGAAGCCACTCGTGCGGATGATTCATAGGCAAGGCTTTGACAAGATCCTGCTCAGTGTAGCTGAGCAGGCTCTCTAGAGAGGTTGGAGGCGCCGTGAAAAGACAAGAAGGCTTGTTGATCACAAAACCCTGATAGTAGTCTTGTAGGTAATTGACAGCTGTGTGCTGGGGCGATGCAATGTGAATACACATGGTCACACAGTCGACCAGCTCCTCGAACGTGGTGATTGCCGGAAAGAATCGCAAATCTGCACCATCAGGAGAGCGCATCTCTTTAAACCATTTCTGAATAGATATGTCGTTCTCAACTTCTTGGTCGGCATTGGCCCCTTTGTAATGCAGAGAAAGCATTTCTTCCACGTAGCTCCTGAGTTTTGTCCACATGCTGTTGATGCATCTAGCGTAGGCGTAGTTGTGAAACTTGGGCTCGTTGAGTTCCTCTGGAGGGAACCCCCGTTTGCGGAGATCGTTTGGTACGTAACTTCCCTCAAAGTCAAACGTCCTGTATTCTTCTTGGATGAATTTGAGGGCTTGAGGTGGAGAAAAGCCAATGATCTTGATAATGACAGAGGGAACGAGAGTGTCTCGGGCGGACGCATTGAGTGCTAATGTCTTCTGCCAGTGCGGACGAAGTATCCGAAACACAGGGTGATCGGGATCAAATTGTCGGTTGGCGGAAACGATGATGGACTCTTCAACCAGATGAGTACGTGCAAGATGCACGGTAACTTCATGCCGGAACCAGTCACTACATTGCACACATGTTTTGGCTATAATCAAAAGTCAGCACATAGCGTGGGAGATGTGAATTGTGGGAGAATTTACCATATCTCCAAGGCCAGTCATTAGCCTCATCAACTCTCGCCTCGTTTTTGCCACGCGTCTTTTCGTCTCCTGTCTGGATATCCGTCCGCTTGAACAATTCCCGGTTGTAGATTGTCACAGATCTCAGAGTGCCCCGCCAATCGGGGACAATAGCCAACGGATAAAGCTTTCCTTTCCCGTTGAGATAGAAAAGGCACACCGACGCGCAACCATAGCGAGGAGGACTGGTTTCAGCCCCGTTTTTGTCCCTAGTCTCATATTTGATTTCATCCGCCGAGTCTATGTCGGTAATTGTGCGAAAGTAGCTGTAATCCTGTACGTAAAAGGATTCTGGAGAGCTGGTACTGAGCTTGGTGATGATACCTTTAGCATCTGCATCATCTGATGTCTTTGCAGCTTGGATAAAGTGGTATATCCAATCATTTGAAGCCCGCGTAATTGTTGTAGGATTCGTCCCTGTAAAATGCTGCTGAGCAAAACGGGCATCGCTATACCAATCTTGTAAATCACCCACGTTGGGACGATCGAAGATATCTCTGAACGCCCAATCCGCTCGTCGCTTCCGATTATACTTTTCCACCTCTGCAATTGTCTTCCCTCTATCGGGTGTACCCGTAGTAAAATCAAGTGGCAAAGTACCATTCATAATGTTTGATAACTGGAGCAGGCGATACCAGTTGAAAAGATCGAATGGCCCAAGGTTTGATCGCTGGTTTTTGTCTCCCTCGTTCTTTACCCATTCTTTGTTCAGGCCAAGGTCAAGATGGGGTGGATAACCATCTTCACCCTTAGTGAAGACAAAAAAGTCGCGTTTTTCTTGTCTGGTAAAGGCTGTTGGAATCAGAGGTTCAACTTGGGCTACATCCGTGAAGGACATGTACCTATCGAGCCGTTAGCAAATTCCCAGGAGCCAATCAACCGCTTCGATGCAATCACTGTTGTTCTATAAGATCATAGACCTTAGTCAGCGCCAACTGAGTCCCCCGATATGTTCCTTCCTCAATTCTGACTTGTTGATTTGATTCAAAGGCTACAGAAGCCAAAACTCCTGATTTCTTCGCCCAGGCCTCCTGCTGGTGGGGAGTCACGTCAACCTTTTTTGGCAAAAGCCTTAAGTCTGCCAATTCATTGATGAGTGCACCAGTATCCATGTCGTTGAGAACGACCTCTTCTGGGTTCTTGGGCCATTTGGTCGGTGGTGCGGTATCACCAGGCCCGTCAACTGCGGTGAGGTTTCGAACCATGGCTGTTGAGGTGAAGACGTGGAGATTGGTTTATTCAGGCCAAGTTGAGAGCTAGCAACGTAAAGAGACGTCAAACGGAGAGGTTTAAATACGCCCAAATCTATATAGTGTGGATCGTATCGGTCTGACTACTCATGATGTAATGCCCAGGACTGAAACCATCAGCATTCATACAATATACTACGCTAATGTCGTATCTTCAGCTCCTAAATCAAAGAGACGTGGACAGTTGTCTACTACAGCCTACTACAGCTCTGAGACCATTGGATGGTTGGAGCACATACTAGTGGGTCTCGTGTGGCTCTCTTCGGAACAACCCTAAAACGGTCTGCCCCATGAAATATAGCTTAGGACTGGAGAGAAGATAGGTGTCCTTTGAAGTCCCAAGTTTGGCAGTGTATGATCCGTGCTATTGCCTGGGCAATGAAAGTGCTGCGCTTGGCATACCGCTCAGCGAGACTAAGGTATCGTTCGAGCTCATCATTATCTCAGACTTGAACACATAATCCGCACCCACGATGAACTTTTAGATTATCAGGCTTATCTAACTGACTGGTAGCTATCATGCATACTCAGCCTCTACTATATACAGTATCCAACGCCTTTACTGATACTAATAGCGGGGTGGGCAATCTAGGAGCTATATTGAGAGTCATTCAGAGGCAAAGAGAGAAAGAAGAATTAATGTTCAATCCTATCCCATACATTCCACATGCCTTTCGTCGCGATTGAAGTGTTTACATACCTCGGCCCCACTAATCCCTCCCGAAGCGTCGCCCGCGCGGATCGTGCCGTACTGAGCCGAAACTTTACTGAGGTTCGAAACGTAGAAATTAGCCAGAATCCTCATTAGGAGAAATGCAGAGCTTTTTTGGTAACAATAGAATAAATTAATCAAAAATCTCCGAACCGGTGGGCATACTTAAGTTCAACTTAAAGGGAGCTTTCCGATTTCAGTCTTGACAAAATGATGTAAATGATGTAAATGCCGAACTGGTTCAGTATTAGTAGTATTTTCAGAAGAAATCTTCAGCTGGACTGTTACATAGGAAGTGAACGATCTATGTTGCATTTTGGAACCGAAATTTTGCATTCGGCAGCAGCATGCAACTGTACCAATTTTACCATGGGAAGTTCTAGCGATGAGCGATTTGAAAGTCTTCTGGTAGCCCCGAGTCAGAATACTGACAGCTGTAAAATTATGTTGGCCATTTAGAGGAGATGCCAGATATTTTGGACTTCGGGTCTTTCTGTGACCCAACATTCGACCCGGCGATCATAGGTACCATGATTCGTAAGAAAGAACCCCCCATAAACCCGAATTCCTCCCCCAAAAAAAGGTGCAATATCAATTGCAAATCAGTTATTAAGACGTGGTCCTAACTGATTAACGAAACGACGAAAGGCAGTTATAGTAAGTGGCTTCGTACGGCCGTCTGCAGCTTACAGCTGTGTAGTAATGTATTTAAAGGTAACGTTACCTGCGGTAACCTCTTATCGAAGGGAGTGATAGCGAGCTATGAAATGCTTTATACGAGCATGATATTCTGGGTTCTTTACGAGAGTAATCTAGTATTCTTAGCTTCCATTTGTTACGTGCCAGTTCAATCAATGAAGAAAGAGTGCATTCCAACTAGAATATCAAAGATAGAGAGGGAAGAAGGGGAGCAAGTGGTAAATCCCGGGGGGATCTTATAGCAAAGCTATCCCACACGAGCAAACAATCTCTTTCCTAATTAGGCTTAGTAGCAATTTGGAAACAAAGGAAGCAAACAATAAACAATCTGGGAGAAGTATGCGATAGCAGATCATAGCACCGTTCCCATAAAAGAAAACAGGGTCAATAACACAAAGGAACTAGCCCCAAGCTGCAGATAAGGAGCCCTGAAAGCACAATGCATCAAGTATCCAACAAAGGAGCCACAAAGGTCCGGTATCCCTCAAATTTCTTGATCTAACTTAGATACCAACCACTTAGTAGCAGCGCCAGCGTCCGCAACGTAAGTGAAATGAGCCGCAGTGATGACAAGAGTACCTTGGCAGACCATATCTCCAACGGCGCAGTAGACTTTGGTCTTCTCCTTGTCAAAGCCCTGGATCTGGCCCCTCTCCTGGGCGTTACGGGTATAACCGAACAGAGCGACACCCTTGATCTTGGCCTGAACATCCGACGAGAGCTTCTTGATTGAGCCGTCCATGACAGCAGTACCCTGGCTGTATTTTACATATTAGTATCGTTCGTACTTGATTTTTTTCGGATGCAAGAACGAACCTATAGCCACCAGCAAGAATCTGGGTGTTGGGACACTTCTTCGCAGCCTCCTCGAATAGACCTTGGGCCTCGGCAATGGCGGCTGGCGAGGTGTTGCCGGGGAGTGCATTCGACGGTAGATCCGCAGTGTACTTAGGTCCAACGCCCTGGCAAGCAACCTTGCCGGGCTTCGACATCTTCAGATTATCGCAGATAGCGGGTCCAACGGACATACCCTGTCATTTAGATGTGTTAGTATCTGTATGGGTGGGAAGGAGATGGTAGAAACATACCAGAAGCCCAGGCTCGGTACTGGCACGGGCAAAGATGAAGGTAATATCCTTACAATCACCATTACGCAATTCATTTCCCTGGGAGACTAGAAAGAATCGATACGTTAGCTAGTCTAAAATATTCGCAGAGAGCCAGAACTGACGAGCGCGAGCATCGAGATCCATAGGGCTGGCAAAGGCGGCAGTTGCCAGAGCTAAGGCGAGAAGAGAGAACTTCATGATGGATGTAAAAAGAGGGAATAGTAAGCAAAAGAACGGTTTCCAGGTTCCTTTCTAGTGAGAATAATTCAGACAGGTACCAGCCTAGTTTTTATATCCGTTCAGCGGGTATACTTCGGGCTCGGAAAAGTAGCCCTATGGAATGAAACTTGGATATGATTATCTGTCTACTTATTCGATCATTAGGAGCTTGTTTCTCTAACAAAAAGCCGTTTCATGTTCTTCCTTGGGCGGATTTCGATACCTGATCTAGTAGTACCGAGTAGTGGGTCAGGATCTGAAAAAAGGGATCTCGATAGCTGCCGAGGTAATTGAACTAGAATACCGCAAACAAGATATATAGCATCGCATGATTGGACGTGTCATTCACTCGGACTTTACTTTTGTCAAAATGTTTCAAGTGCTGTCTCATAATTCGGAATTTGGTCAAACGCTTTACCGGAACGGGGAGTCCCCGAGGTCTCAAATTTGAGGCCGTAGCCCCATACTGGTCCACGCGGTACCTGATCCGAATCAAAAAAATGTTCTCAAGGTAAGCCAAGGGCCTGAAGAAAATCAAATCAAAATATGTGGTGAAGATCAATCCGCACTCCGTACCGTCAGTATTGTGAGTCGGCTTCTTGCCTCCCATACCGGCTAAATCAGATCCATTTCTAATATTTAATATGATCCAAGGTTGATTTATTTTCTCATGGAGCATATCTCTTGAATGACTTGAATTCTGAAACGGATTTTTGCACAATACTGCACAATACCCCTTCCAACATCCATGTTGGAGTCATCCTGGATCCATCTGTTGACCAGGCTACCTACGACCCATCCCATTGATCAAAAGCTATAATGTACAAAACTGTGGAACTGGAATATATAACATTCCCGCGATTTAATCGATTGTGTATCTGGATTGATCGAGTAATGACTGGCAATACGCCTACGAGGCGTGGCATCTAAGAAAGGAAAAGGCGAGGGAGAGATGCCGTTAAAGATCGCCGAGCTTTTGTGTGAACAACTGAAACACGGTCGCTTGGGATTTTCGCAAGAACATGTTCGTTCGCAACATATTAACACCGGCGCTAACGATTAGACTCCTTCGGCCCACGCCGCTAGTGATCGAGATATCAGAAGTCCTACCCTTCGTCTACAACTGGCAATTGGAACGTGGGCGTAGAAAAAGGAAAAACACAAAAACATACAACAGCATGTGTATGAACGTGGGTCCCTAGTTTTGTCAAATTATATCCATAGGCTATTATCCCACTAGACATTAGAACTTGTAGGGCTTTTCTTAAGTAGGTTATAAGAGGAATAGACGGTCGGATCGAAGAAAGGCCTACAGTAGAGACAATTTAGGGATTTTTTTCGGAAATTCGCTGTATCGGATAAAGCATCCTTACAACAAGGAACCAGGGTCATGAAAATGGATGCCGATAGATAGAATAACCATGCTATAGATCTCTCAGAGGGTCTTCAGCTCGCGCACTGCATTCACAGAGAGTGGCTCCAAGACTTCGTGAACTAGCTGAGGTACAATTGCTGTAGGAGCTTCTTAGATAATTTGCAAATACACCAATTATGCTTTGGAACTACCTCATGAGTTCTGTAGTATAAGGTATCCTCCGCTAATTCATAAGCTACCGGGATATCAGAATCTAGTGCCGATGCGGACACTCTTTACTAGGAGGAACCAACCTACAGGCGACACTCGGAGTTTCTTTGCTCTGTCTACTCTAGTAGGCTGCAAAGTGTGGTTGTTGTATGGCTCCTTCTCCGGTATGTTTAGCCTGCCTGTCCTTCCCATAGACCATGTGTTGTGTTAATAAGGGATATATGTAGACAAGGAAGACGTGAAGAACGAGGGCCTTACTGAAGTGTGGAGCATGTGGGTAGTGGAACATTGGATTAAACAAAATATTAATATTTTTCTTAAAATATCAAAGATTTAGCATAAAGCTATCAAAGTTAACAAGGAATTCAGGTTCAAGGTCAAAAAAGAAATGCCTGTCCCAATAGTCCTCGATTTTAGCTTATTAGATTTAATGGCATTTTACTGAAGATAGATGAATTTTTCATAGGGTGCGCCGCTCGCTTGTGAACTACGTTATGGCTAGCAGCAGACAGAGTGCGCATGGGTACCTTGTGCTCCCTCATTGTCTTTGGATGTTGACGCATTCAACTCATTATTTATTAGACCGAGATGGTAGAGCGGCGACTAATTGTTTACCACTATAGAAAGAGCAATATCCTATAGTCCTGTCTACCTCACTTCAATATATTTCAGTCTTGCCGTCTATGCCAGAAGATCGCGAGATTCCTAAGTACATAAGATTATGTGTTCAATCGACTGGGAGAATTTCTCTGCAATCGTAGCAGCACGAGCTGGATTAGAAGAGTAAGACCAATACATGACGTTGGCCTCGATCCTGTCCGGGAATACAGTGGCGGTGACAATCAAGTCGTACTGGAACACAATTAGCAAGAGAGGTCAAGTGATAATAGAAGGGGACATGAATGAGTCTCCCATTCCCTACCTCGGTTTCTTCCACAGTTTCGAGCGCATTGAAGCGGTTTCCTGTTTCGGTCTCATCCGACAGCGGCTGCTCAACCGATAGACAGGTGTTGAATAATGACGAGACATCGGGCCCTGGCTTGAGAACTAGACGTGTCACTTCCTGCAAGGAGCAAAACTGGTGTGAAGCTCGTTCGCGCATCATACGATCGTTTTCCAGAACAACGGGTCCGATACTCTCGGTGGCCCGCATCTCAATACGACACGCGACAACATTGAAGAACGACCCAACGATATTGCCAACGTTATGCACTGGCACATCGCGGCCTGAAACCAGCGTCCCAAAGCAGATGTCGTCTGTCCCAGTTTGCTCTCTCAGCACAAGCGCCCAAGCTACCTGGAGGATGTTGGTTATGGTAGTTTCCCGTAGATCACAATGGTTGCGAAAGGCGACGGCGTCTTGTACTATAGTTTGGCGGTGTGATTTCATCACTCGAGAGCTTTTTCCACTGATTTCATCCATTCCATGATACTGGTGGTCTTGACACTTCTGATTGCGGTGATTTTCAAAACCGGGTAGAATGCAAGGCTTGATGCCAGCGAGATGTCGGTCCCAAAATTGCAGATGCAACGGGTTTTCCGTCCATCCACGCAAATAGGAAACCCATGAGGCATATGGGGGTGGCAATTGATCGGAAATAGGAAGACAATCAAGAATAAGTCGAAGTTCCTTCATGAGGACTAGCACTGAGGACGCATCGAGGAAGGCATACCTGCCCTCGAGTTTGCAGAGAGTCCTTCCCGTGGTACTTTGATAGATTGCGAACTTGTAAGGAGCACCCCCTAGACCATCTTTCGATAGAAGAGGTCTCCTAGCAATCTTCAAAGCACTAGCATCCTCTAAGTTAGTCATCAATTTGACAGATATGGGAGGTGACTTGAACACCACGTGGAACCACTGGGACGCATCTGAACGACTGGGAAGGAGAACGGTTCGAAGTGCTGCATGGCGATTTACGAGCTTGAGCCAAGCTTTGATAAGACGTCCAGGATCGATGCGCTCGTCAGGACTCCCAACCTCCCAGATTGTATAGGATAGACAGGTGCTAAGTCCAGAAAGAAGTCCTAGGTGAGCGGCGGTGCAGGGGAATGCATCAATTGAATTTTTGATGTCCCACCCATCGATGGACTCTTGGATATCTCGCTCAAATGACTCTCGGTCCCCGTACATTGGCCTTAACAGCGAAAAAGCTTCCAATGCTGGGGTGGAGTCCCCGGACGGACGACTATTGAGTGTCGACGCAAGTGATCTCAGCGAGGTTGCTTGGAAGATGTCTAAGATAGTTACTCTCAAGTTTTGTCGATTACACTGTGCAGTAAACTGCATGGCAACAAGCGAATCGCATCCAAGGGAAATCAGATTGTCGTGGATCCCGATTGTCTCGGACTCCAAACATAGGACTGTAGCTAAGGCCTGTCTCAAAGTCGCCTCAAGAGGCAACAATGGCTCCTCAGAGACACAATTTTGTGGATTTTGCCATAATGTCAACATCTTCCACGTGAGTTCTGACACAGCCTCTCGTGCACGAGCTCGATCAAGGAGGAGACCAGGCTTGGATGGTCTATGCTGCAATGGCACGGGAATACAGCAGAATGGAACGGTGCCTCCAAGTAGGTTGTTTTGGAAATCATCCATCAACTGAAGCATACGAGCGCGTAGAGGCTCATTCACCTCCGCCAGTACCCATGCATCGTCTGATACGGTATTCAAACTCAAGACCCCAACAAAAAGGGCTAGTTTGGGAACACGGGATGCCTTGGGAACGACCCACTCTGCTGCAACGGGAATTTCGTTCCCGAGATACTGGCAAGCCGCTTGTTCCAATCTTGCCAATGAGGTGCGTTCCTCATAACGATCCAAGACTCCGTCAAGCTGTCGGTTTTGACTTAGAGTTGTCCCCATTGAGGCATGAGGGTGTTGCAACACGAGCTGGAGTAGACGATCCATGCAGTTGAGAATCTCTACCACATCTTGTGAGGACATGATATTTTGGTCGAAATACGCTGTTACTTCCAAATGATCGGTGCCCGGCTCGCACACAACATTCAACGCCTGGGTGCTGAATTTCACGTACGACGTCTCCTTCCAAGAGCCGCATTTCTCTAATACCAGCAATGGTGACGAGTCACGCTTGACCAGGAAGCTGCTATCCGACGATGGCTGAATAACTAGCATGTTTTGGAAATTGCAGGCGATGGCGGACTCGGGGCTTGACTGTCGGATATGCTGGATACCGAGCTGCTCGAAAGGTGCTATGGCAATTCCATGATTTTGAACTCGCTGTAGTGCTTCTTTGATACTTTCTTCGTCCCGGAGTGTGATGCGGAGGGGATACGTAGCGATGGTGGGCCCACCTACATCAGAAGTGCCAGGCATATTGCGGCCCATAACGGTGGCACCGAATACGACGTCAGGAGAGCCAGTATACTGCGAGAGCACCATGGCCCATACCAGGCGGATCACGGAAGATATTGTGATTCCTGGTTGATTCTGAGATCTGAGATGAAAGCTTTTGCGGGTCCAGCTGATGGCGTCGAGATTTGACCTCACATGGGTACTGTTCGCGGGAAATAGATTTGCCCGGAGACCAGTGAATTCCTGTTTCCAGAATTCCATTGCCTGGGATACGTCCAGGTCTTGAATGTATTTAATGAACGGTGAGAATGGTCGCCAGACAAGAGAATTGCCCCGATATGCAGCTTCCACTGCCTCGAGGATCTGCTCAAATACCACCAAGTCGAATAACGCGTGGTGGATATTAAGAATCAGGATTGGACTCACTTTATCACGCACTGCAACACAAAATAACAGTGGAGAACCAAATGTCATCAAACTACTTGGTTCGCTTTCGCTCACTGTCTCTACCTCGACCCACTCAATGTCTTTGCCGCGAACGATAACTTGAAGAGGATTGCCATCGGCCAGTTGCCATGGATTTATGATTCTAGTGCGCAAAATAGGGAGGGCATCGGTGGCTTTGTTCCAAGCCCAGTGTAGCCGCTCCCAGTCGATCCCCGGCGACAAGCAGAAATTGAAACTTCCTTGAAAAGCGCCTGGCTGACGGGCAGTTCTGGCCATTAGACGTGCCTGGAGCGGAGAGCATGGGTATATATCCTCAATTTGAGAGGGATTTACATCACAATGCTCTGCTGTGAGTTCCCTACAGTTGTCGATCTTCCTTGGGTCTAACATTGAGAACGGCAAAACGTTTGCAGGTACTCCAGGCCGCATAGACTCCAGGAGAGGCTTCTTCTGCGAGCGATGAGACATCTCAGCTATCGAGGCGCTTTCAAAAATATCCGTCACTGTTAAGTAGAGCAGTGGCATGGTATCGGTCTCCTTAGAAAGCATGATGGCTGAAAGCGAATCACCACCCAACTGGAAAAAGTTATCATGCTCCCCAATCTCGCTCGGATCAAGCGATAGTACACGGGCAACCATTTGAACCATTTGAGCATGGTTCTGCCCAACACCGTGTGAGGTTCGGCCAATACTGGGGGCGTGCTTTGTGACCTGGTATAATTTGATCTCCTCCTTGGACCAGCGAGGTATCATGGCTTGCAAAGCCTTCCGGTCCACTTTGGCTGAATGTGATAGAGGGATGGCACACAAGGGGACTATGAAATCGGGGACCATATAGGAAGGCAGGATCTGCGAGAGCCTTGCCTTGGCCCGCTGCACATTGGACGTAAACTGATTGTTGTCATTTCGGACGGTCCAGCAGCAATTTGTTCCACTGCATGTCTTGCTTTTCTTCGATGGCTTCCATTCCACAAATGAAACTAGAGCCGAATGTCCATGATAAAGCTTGCCAACCTCCACAGCCACCGCAGCACCGGGAAAGAAACTTGCGACGTGATGTTCGATCTCACCCAGCTCAATACGCTGGCCTCGTAATTTCACCTGCGTATCCTTGCGGCCTAAATAGACGATACTTCCGTCGGCTTTCTGACGCACCACATCGCCCGTCCTGTAAAAGCGTGAATTCTTTTCTGCTTGCCACGGTGGGTTTTGGATAAAGACAGCGGCAGTCTGGTCGGGCCGTTTTAAATATCCCCTGCCCACAATCGGACCTCCAATAACAAGCTCACCCGCTGCACCGATTGGTACCAGTATATTATGGTTCTCCAGTTCAACAACCCACACGGAACCCCCGCATCCCCGACCGATAGACAAAGGATCAGCATGTGTCGTGACATTTGATTGCACCGTGGATACCACTGTGCATTCAGCCGGACCGTAGGCCACGTTTAGCCGAACGTGATCTGCCCAGCGGGCGAGCTCGGCCGGCGAGATGGACTCGCCCCCAACGACCAGTGTCTTGACATCAGGGATTTTGTGGGGATTTAGAAGGCGAGTCACTGATGGGGTAAGCTCCAACCAATTGACACGCAGCTGGATAATGACTTCTTGGAGACTATTTACCCTTTGTGTCGCCGAGGGAATGCAAACACAGCCTCCAAGCATGAGAGGGACCAGGGTTTCATGGATACTAACGTCAAACGCATATGATGCAAATTGTAGAACTCTGGAGGAGCGGTTCAGATCTTGAGCATCAGAACTAACCATTGCATTGGTGCAAAATGAGGTATGTTCTATGATAACCCCCTTCGGCTTCCCTGTTGACCCTGACGTATAAGCCACATACGCCGCGTTTCTCGGTTGAACGAGAGTACAAGGTCCCATCTTTCCGTCACTGTATGGTGGCTTTCGCTCGACATCGCTGGGGACTGACATCGTGATATCAACCAGATTCGAGCCGAGTTCTTTGCAGAAGTCGGAAGTCAGCATGAAACAGGTCCCAATATCACGGCAAATGCTTTTAAGACGTTCAATGGGATGCGAAGCGTCGAGCAGTACAAATGCAGCTCCAGCCTTGAGCACTCCCAACATGGCCACTGCAGTCCACTTGGTCTTCTCGAACAATAACGGGACGATTGTCTCCGGTTCAACCCCATGATGACGCAGATATTCCATGATTTTAGTTGACTCTTGGTCCAAGGCGGCATAGGTCATGGTACCATCCCAGGCGCAGATGGCTTCTGCATTAGGGTTTTCCACGCATCTTCTCTGAATGACATCATGGATGCATTCCGCCAATGGCTTTTTGGGAATATTTGAGTTCCAATCAAGAATTTGTTGATAGTGATGATTAGGAGTTACCTCAATGTTCTTCAGAAACCCCATCGGGTTCTCCAATACACCATGTAGAATATGCTGGAATGCTGTACACAAGAAGTGGACAGACCCATCGTCGATGTATGATGATTTTCCATACAAGGACATGCATCCCAATCTCCCTTGTTTTGCTACCAGGGCCAGTTTTATTCCATGGTTGGGCTGAGGCAATAGATGTTAGCGTATCCAACTATGGGCTATATTTTCTTCAACTACCGTGACTTACTGAATTGACCCAGTGATCCAGCCAAGTTGTATTCGAGGTATTTACAATGCAGGTATTAATCCGTGCATCGTACTTCCACTTATGAAACCGATATTGCCTCCTGCCGGCTAGAGGAATTGCAGTTGGCAAGCAGCTCTCTGGGTCCAGGAAAGCACGATACTCGTCCACGGTCATGTCATCGTGGTGTTGGTTGTCTTCGGAGCCAGATATAATGCCAAAGGCAACAGCAGGTGAATCCGTGTATTTGGCCAGTAAAATTGACCAGGACAGCACAATATTTTGAAGAAAAGAGTCCTCTGAGATTGTTACCTCACATTCGAACTCATGCTGGTAAGCATCTGCCTTGGCGTTTGATTGATAGACGGAATGAGTGGATAGGCTAGGAAAGATGCATGGCCCAAGCTCAAAATCAAGGTCAAGCATTTCGTCCAAATGCCCTTTCTGATGCTTTTGGTCTGATTCTCATCAACGACGAAGGTACTTGGCGTGAAAATCGGCCTTCCACTCCGTCTGTGAGAGAATGCAAGTGTGGTAAATTATGATTAATTTCATGGGGTGAAGCTTTTAATCTATGTGGAATTTGCGTACTTGGGTATGTATAAGCACGTGCTGCAGTTGAATGAGATCTAGATCTGTCTCACCCTGGAAGTTCACGATCCAGGGGGTAACAGCATGTGTGCAAGGGTATACGTGCAAGGGGTGTATATGCAAGGGACTTGCATCACTATTTAAGCTTAGCTGTGGGTTTCATCTGTGGCCACATAACTCAGCTCGTCTGAGCGAATTCCGATGCAGGTTGCCTTTTTACTTTTTGAGGAAGCTGAGCCAAAGGTCAAGATCTGCCAAGGAAATACAAGCGCCCTTAGGACCATTTATTGTAGTGGGTTTGTTTGTGGTGAAAGGAAAATGCAAGGGAAAAGCACAGGAAAAGAGATGAGGAAAATGAAACACAAACCAACCTCCTCCCACTACACCTAGAAGTCCCTTGCATATTGAGACCTGTTATTTGGTACATATCATCTTAGGTGATCACAGACGCTCTTACCAAAGGGCGCGCACAATTCGTATCTCGAACGGGCTTTGGACAACACTTACTATCTCTGACTGACTCACTTTCTTTCGGAACAAACACTCATACCACCAAATCACAATGACAGTCTCTTCTACTGTTCAGCCTCTCAACGCTTCTGTGGCCGCTGCCACAGGAGCGGCAGATATTCCCCATCGTACACTCAGCAAGTCGGTACCCTTTGCCAATTTGGACCAATATCAATACTGGCATACCGTCGGTCCAATTCTGGGAAGAATGCTCTCCAATGGCAACTACAGCGTCCACAAGCAATATGAATATCTATCTCTCTTCGCGCATGTCATAATCCCCAATCTGGGGCCATTCCCTGACGGGAGAGATGTATATAGATGCCTACTCGGAGGCACCGGCTCCGTGGAGCTCAGTCAGAATATTCAGAGATCAGGTCTGACTGCACGTGTTGCGTTCGAGCCTACAAGCTACCTTGCGAGTACCGGAGTCGACCCGCTCAACCGGCATACGGTACACGCGACGCTAGCCCAGTTAAGAGCTATCGGGTCTGCCAGAGTTGATATGGAGCTGCACCAAATGCTCGTCAATGAGCTGACATTGACGGACCGCGAGGAAAAGCTGATGTCCCCAGAAGAAATCTCGGGAACCCCGGGGAAGGCGCAAATTCTGCTTGCCTTGGATTTAGGACAGACTAGCATCACAGTCAAGGAGTATTTCTACCCGACAGTTAAAGCTTCTGTGACGGGGCAAACCGTGGCTAAGTTATGCTTTTCTGCTATTCGCAAGATGGATAAGAAAGGAATTTTCGAACTTTCGAGTAAGGCCATTGAGGCTTATGTGCAAACGCAAAGCCAGACAGACCTTTGCTTTTTATCCTGTGATCTGGTCAATCCAGCGGAAACTCGGATCAAACTGTACATGGCGGAGCTAGATATGAGGCTGGAAAAGGCAGAGGAGCACTGGACAATGGGCGGAAAGCTCAAGGACGAAGAGACTTTGCTTGGACTAAAAATGCTACAAGAGCTGTGGGTAGGGTTAGGGATTACCGAAGGCCTGCGCAATATGCCGGAGCGACCATCGCTACCTGGAGATCCCGATACCATTTTACCATTCATCATGAACTATGAGATGAACCCCGGCGAGGCATTGCCCAAACCCAAGTTCTATTTCCCCTTGGTCGGCATTTCGGAGCTCCAAATTGCCAATGTGCTCACTGCATTTTTCGAACACTACAACATGCCTGAACAGGCCGCAGTCTATCGCGATAATCTGCAGACATATTAGTTAGTTCTTTCCCTCGACACACACATGCCGAATATTCCTTGCTAACCTAACTTACGTGATATCAGCCCCAGCAAGAACTTGGCAGTTGCAACGGATCATCAGGCATGGCTGTCCTTTTCATACACCAAGAAAAAAGGGCCGTATCTCACCATGTACTATCACTAGCGTATTACAATGGTCATCCCATGTCAAGATACGTTTGAAGCAGACAAACTAGCGCAGCTTCGATTCTGTTTGAGGGGCAGCATGAAAGTATGGGAAGTTTATACGTCTTAGCTAGCCAGAATGAGGAAGGTCGAATGTTCATCCCACGGGGGTGGCTGTAGTCTACTAGACTATGTAGGTTCTTTTTCTCGTTAGACTACTGAAGTCTAATGAACTCTGATCGGTCTAAAATTTTTACCAGCTATGAAAGACTATGTGAAATAGCTCCCATTTGCTTTGAAGCTTGCACAGACTAGTACTTTGAAAATCGGAGATGTTTTGTTAGGGTACGGCATTTTGTACCTTGACGGCGTACCTAGACTACCAAAAGACGCCACTGTAGCACCGTAGACGAATAGAATAACTTCGATAATTGTAGTATACAATGGCCACAGGGTCTATTAATAAAAGAGGGGGTTTCAGCACCTCTTGAAATTTCATCTGACTTCCTTTCTAGCTCATTTTACTAGAGGTCAAAGTCTTTTTCCTCGGTTTTATATCACATTACCCGTGGTAATTATATAACTAAATTGTAAGGAGAGCGTATACAGAAATACAGAGAGTTTCATACCACTGAATTGGCCATATATCGTACAGACATACTTCCGTCACCGGGTTAGTGGACCCAGACTGGGTCCGGGCCCCCAACTTGGGTCATGAACATTCCAAACATGCTAAGACCCGCGACTCCATAAATCATGCGTTTGAAAAACAGTATCTTGTTTTGATGACAGGGCAACTTTATGATTAGAATTATACAAAGTTGGGTCGAGTTAGGCCCGGGTTGGGTTCTGGGTTGGAACCTTCGTCCCAAAATGGGTTATGCATACCGGGCAATTGCATTATGTTTTGTCTACGTTATTACTTGTCAGGTCTGGACAGAGCTGGCGCTGTGCCCCCTCATCATTCCCAGCTCCCAACAACGTCGTAGCTGACGATTACTCATCACACCCAACGATCGAACTACCGATGACTCCTAATTTAGCCATACAGAGAAGTGCAAATCCAATTTCACCAGTTTGTACTCTTTCATATTCGACCCCTATCGCTAAGACGCTAGCTTAGGAAATCGGTTGTCTAATTTGACTGAACCTTCTCACATAACTCAAATATAGATCACTGCTGTCCGCCTGGAGGAGCTTACCTATCTGCCTTAACCCATAACCTACTCTGCGGCCGTTTTTGACTCGCAGAACATACTGAGAGTAGCCTTCTGTTTGGTACTTCTTAGTTGCTCTTTGTTCCAAAAGCATAGCTGAACAGTTCACCAGTCTTATTGATTCAGTCGGAGGATTAAGCCTCACTGATAGGACGACTGAATTGACTGGATCGGCCTCTAATTGCCTAAGACCAACTCAACAAGCTCTGATAGAGGCTATTAGGATGCTGATATAGTCCTACAAAGCTACTTTAGTATATACGCAACGGGTCCAGACCTTGGTTGAAAGTATATATACTCCGAGTGACTAGGGTATTGTGAAACTGAGCTCCCTACGAAGAAGAGCTACCGCTCTTATAAGTATCATAGATACATTTACCGATATAACCGAACGCTATATTATAGCTTATGTCATATCGCTTGTTAGTCTAGGGACACTGGTGCAGAAAATTGTTGATATCTCTCAGTAGTCATATGATTTCTCTCCATAGTAACAAGTAGACTCTTAGTCTCTTACTGTTTCCCCTCCTCTTCAATAGTTTACACAATATTGTGCTTTCATGATCTCATCTACTTCGTAGATTCTAACATTGACTTAACAATAGAAATTTTCTATATTAGAGCTAGTTAATTCCCGCCAATTTTGACGTAGTAGCCCTCTTCCTCTCTATCTGCCTCTTCTCTGTATCTTTCCCCCAGCGTACTCCCGTTCATTTAACTTATTAATTTTGGTGAGCTAAGACAGTTATAGCCGGACCAAGGTATGCCCTATACGACGTTTGATGATATATATCCCTTTATCCTCACTATTTCTTCCTTTATTGGGAGCACATGCCATTTTTGTATAAGTGCGAGATGAATAATCCACTTTATTCGTTAGCGGCCCTTTCATGCCATATCTAATCCTCTCAATTAGCTTATTGTATCATAATTAAAATCATTGGCCACTGAATTAGATCTTTTTGCTTCCTTGCCAACCGACGATATATTAAGCGCTAGCTTCTACTATCTATATTATCCTCTCCCTCTTATTTTTTAGTATATAGATAATTATACTAAAGAAAAAATTTCCGACTAGTTTTGTAATGGATAAAGATCCTGCAATGAAAATATGAAGTCACATGACCGAATCGGTCTATTCGCTCCCCTCTCTAGCTATTGTATCTTACCCGGTTGACAGACCTTGCACCTGAAACCCGTAAATCCGTACAAGTTTCTAGACCCCTTACCTACTTTTGTAACTGAGACGGCTCCTCTGGATTGATATTTCTTCTCTGGCGATTTATTCTAGCTATTCGTGTGAAAGGTTATAGATCTAGGAAGGGGAAAACAGTTTTATCGGTGTTATAGGCCCGGTTGCTAAATAGCAATCTGCCGGTTATATATATATATTGTCCGTGAACCTCTTTAGAGCAACCTTATAGTACGATTTCATGATATCATGGATGTCTTGCACAGTCTATTGCAAATTACTTATATAGTGAAGTTGCGTAAGATTAGAAAGTCGAACAAATTGGTTGCTTAGCTAGTCTATAAGTTTGGCGGGAAATAATAGCTCCTAGGCTGCGGTTATAATGCGTTCCTGGCGACTGAAATAATACTAGCGATTTATAATTGATAGTCAATAGGCAATTTACTTTCGCCATTTTTATAGATTACTATTTAGGCAATGATTTTATGTCATTAGTGTCCCTTCCCTTTCAATTTGAAGGAGAAAATTCGTTATTGAAAGGGTTTATTGATATTTCTCAATAAGGTCATCTATCAGAAATAAGAGAATGTTTGACCAGCCAGGTCTTTAATATCTATAGGATATATTCAATGCCCTGCTCGTGAAAATGTGAACCATAAATATACTATCGCAAATATAGCATTCCGCCAGAAACGGCCATCTAGCAGATTGTTCCTTCAGCACACAGCCTATTGTAATCAAAACAACATCCCTGTGAGAAAAAGAATCAGTATGAGAGGGGGTGGACATGTCAGCACAGTTAAGGGGCGTGCAGGTTATTCAGGAGTAGTATAGCGGTGTTTAGGGCAGTCAGGTGAATGGGCTGAATGGCCTGAAGAGTAAGTAGGGCGACAAGAGGGACTTTCTAAAGATGTATTATATATATATATAAGAAAGCACAAAATACAAAAACATACAACAGTGAGGATTCGCTGGTGGTCACCCACCCAACTACTAACTCACCGGCGTGTGGCTTAAGTACGGCTGAGCGGACGGGAAGCCCTGTTTTCCACACCCTATGGTCGTATGTGCTTAATATACCGCTGGAGAGGTTTATAGAATACGAGCATGGAGTGGCATGGGACAGTAAGTGCGCTATCGACAGAGTGAGAAGTCAAGGGTACGTGAGAACCACCCTAGTGCGCCCACCGCACTGATCCTCTCGGCGCAACACGAGGAACACGAGTAATAGCATCATTGGTTTCGACATTCATGAAATCTCTTTCTCCTTACACCTGGTCAAACTATCAAACTCGGCGTAGGGTAAGCCAAACGAGCGTGCCAGGCTGACTTCCAGTGGACTAACAAGCATGTTGGATGACAGGTGAATACCAGGATCTTTTGTAAAGTTGACCAACATGTCACATAGAGACTTCACATGCAACTTTCCAGAGAGTCTCCCCTCTTTCTAGGCATATCTAAGGTCCTGCTGGCATGTTTATGGTTTGTGGCTTCGTATTATCCACTGATTACCTAGATGCCGACTTCGTATTCCCTTCCCCTCACATATATAAATGATATAAGAACCCTCTCCAAGGGCGATTTTCTTTCTTTCCACTGCTCTCGTGTAACTTCATTGAATACTCAACAGCCATGACATCTAGCAACATCGACCATCTTGGCATCACTGCCCCGGAGGAGCATTTCGAGCCTCTTGTCGAGTGGTATAAGAAGGCTCTCTCTCCGTTAGGTTACAAGGAAATCATGAGGTTCCCAGGTGCGGTCGGACTGGGCAGTGAGATTCCTGACTTGTGGATTACCCAGAAGGAGACGCATATTCCTTCGGGTTTCCATTTTGCCTTTGCTGCTCCGAGTACGGTGACTTCTTGACTTTCCTCCGGCTTTTAAAATCCCAAGTTATATATTGATAGACTGACCCGCGGTAGACCGGGCTGCTGTCGACGCGTTTTACGGGGCCGCTATCGATGCTGGAGGCACTTGCAATGGCAAGCCTGGGTTGAGACCAGAGTATCATGAGAATTTCTACGGGGCATTTGTTTTGGACCCAGTTGGAAATAATGTGGAGCTGGTAGGTCCAGGTACCTTACTTCCGCATTCCTCTGACTTATTTGGAATTCTAGGTTAGCCATTCTCCCGAAAGCCAGAAGGACTAATATGTCCAGAGCGGCGGAGCCACTGTAGCCGAGAAATAATTGAGTTAATACCTGCTCCTATTCCTATCAGTTCTTTTTGTCTTTAGTGTAATGCCTATAGCATAAATGTGATTCAAAGTCCGAGAGGTGTGAAGATAGAACTCTTGCAATTTAGCGTTCTGTTCTTTAGCGCTCTCTTGGTGTTTCTGGTAGGCTTCTCCAAACCCAAGACCTAATACTGGAAGTGAGGGCCATCAAAAAGTGAACGTAAAATAAACAATATTGTGCCAAAGTGTTCCTTTGGGTATGACCA